CCCTCATACAAGACTCGATTCGAGCCTGCTATTGTTTAAATGTTCACCGAAACACCTGCGAGTTGTGTTCTACCAGCTTATAAGTTACACACGAACAATTTCTCCTTAACAATTCGTAGTTAAAACACAATTGAGAAGTGTTTCCTACGAAACAGTTCAGTCTATATATAAAGAACAATTAATAAATTTGATAACCTTATATGCAAATACACACCCTGGCGTGACACGATCAATAAAACGGTCCGGTCTACCTTTCCAAAAACTAGGCATTGGGTTATATTGGGTGCTGTCATGGTAACGTAAACAATAGTATAATAATGGTTCCTACGTAATTAAGAACAGGTAAATGGAGACACAGGCTTTATTAAGAGAGATTTCAAGTGACGTGGCATCAATGGGGCACGCCTTCGAACAATACTACACTTACGCAATTTTCGATGCAAAGGAAGGATCAAATGTTTGATCCTCCCTTCGCAAACTTCGCGTCAAAGGTCAAAGGTAAACGACAGGACATTTCTAACGCCAACTCACCCACTATTCTCGGTTCGAGTGATAGGCCGTTGCAACACATTTCTGTCCTCTTCCTTTCGTCCGATCCTAATGCCGGTCAGACAGGTTCGGACGAGGTTACGAAGGACAGACAGATGCACAGCACGACTCGATGGAAATCATTCGACCCAACGAATTGACGTTGGGAATAGGAGGAAGTCACACGTCGAGAACGTTGCGAAATAAGAGTTTCTTTTTTGTATGAGAATTAATAAATTAGACGAGGGGAGAACAGGGAAATTTCCCTCTCTATCTACACCAGCCCAAAACGATATAACTTAGTTTAAATAGGCGAGTGTAGGAAGGAGAATTTAAAGGGAATTATTTATTTTACTTAAAGCCCAACAGTGACGTTTGTTACTTAACACAATGACTTATTACGGAGGGGAAAATCATCCCTAGGCCATCACTTATCTTAAAGGACTCCGTAGAGATTACTGGGGACGATTAGATTCGCCGAATTTTACCCACACGTTAATTTCTAAAAGTAATGACTCCAACGGTGTAGTTGAAGATTCAAACTCGGCAACAGTTTAGTATAAAACACCTGTTCTAGTGTCGAAGAACAACGAAGAAACTGTACAATACAGCGAAAGGGATTAGTAATTAGAAGTACTGTACAGCTCGATGCCTTGCTTGTTAGCTGCTGTACTTCTAAGTGTACTGTACAGTACCTCCAAGCTGTACTTCCAATTTTCCAAGTAAAAATTGGCAATAAAAATAGAAACCCGTGTCCCTGACAAACGTATAAGTAAATGTAAATTGTTTGAGGGTAGCAGCTGAAACCTCTAGAAACACAAGACCTAAGGCAATTGTTTAGGTCGCCTGTACCTAAAAGACCGCCACCGAGAGACATATATTATATAAATCGATAAAGAGCATCGAATAATTCACTTCGCTGACGTATCTTTTTTAAACACATAACTCATAGACCACACATAATCGAGCCACGAAAAAAGGGAGAAAGGGCAGCTGATAATCGAGCGATTATAGTTGTGTTTTCCTTCTTAAATGGTGCTCTGTTCCCACAGTTTTACGTAACACTGGTGTTACTTTGTGACTAAGAAACGTGCCTGTTTTTTAAAAGGGGGGGGGAGAGCTAACGGCCCGTAATAAGGGTAATTTGAAAAATGGAGCAACAAGACAATTTTCGGGTATTAATTTTCCAAGAAAACACGTAACACGAGGGGAAGATATTGGAATAATTGATTATTTTTTTCGGTTAATTTTAGAAACAGGATGTAGCTAAAGAGAAAGCTGAGGTATTTTCGCCCCTTTCCTTCTTTGGAAATTGTGGTTGGGCCTCCGAAGGCTGAGTGAGAGAGACGACGTCTCAATTAGTAGACTATCTTTCGAGATGGAAGCCCGTCGTGGTGGAACCATTGCACCTGCCCCAGTTGGGTTCCCTAACTGTTGACTGTCAGATCGATTAAAATGCCAATTGGAGGAAAACCTTAACGAAATACCTTCCCCCCCTCCGTGAGAAATCCGAATTAATTCTACAGCCTGTGTACAATCCCGGTTACCGAATACAACGGATCTCTCCTGTGTTTTTTTTTAAAAACACTTTGTAAGTGTGCAGCATTCTGTCGGCTTACGATGCTCGCCCCGGATGGTCAATTGAAATAGGTGTATCGTCGAAGGACACCAGTCATTCGACGGGATAGAAGTAAAAAAAGGAGGGAGAATGGCGGTCGAAACTTAACTTGGGCAAGAAGGATGCCTCGGGCCATCTCGAAAGCTACCAGGGAGGCCGCTTTAAGGCCGAGATCGGTTTCTTCACTCGTAAGAGGAAGAGATCGAATAGAAGATAACACCGAAGTAAGCTGGCTTCTAAAGAAAATAACAGTTAAATGCTGTAGATTACACTAAAAATCGTTTACTACTGTATCTGTATAGTTTATTACACATAAATATAATAGTATAGAACGACTATAAGAGAACTCTTGCCATCACGGAGAGGAAACTTTGAACGGAAACAATAGCGACGTGTAAAAGTCACACACCAGAAAGGGCCTAACACGGATGATGATGATGAGCAACTATTATAAGGATGATAGATTTAATATTACGTATTATAATCGAAATGAAGGGTGCGAAGTAAAATCTAAAACACGGCAACTAAAATGAGAAATGGAAAAGGAATGTTTATTAAGTTTTCGATCCCATATTTGGGGGGATCCGGGAGAAATTTTATATATATATTATCCGTCGTACGTCCTCTCGATTTATTTGATTAATTTCTCTCAACTGCCGAGGGCCCACCCATAGGGGGTAATTGGAGTAGTTACTTCACCAAAGATTTATGCTGGCAGAGTAATAAACTCGCTTATAATTATTCAAAAGTATAATATACATTTCTGTACTTAAGAATGATAATAAGCCTGTATTTAACTTTGCTACCATTTATAAAAATAGGGGGGGTTTACACTTATCTCATCATCATCAACACTAGTCATTTAAAATGCATTCTAGGAGAAGAAGATGAAGATGAAGAAGAAGAGGAAACTATTTTTTTTTTCTAAAATTAACCTTAATGAATTAACAATAATATCATTTAATTTATCGAGTACACTAGTTAACATTTTAACGAATGGCTGACACTTTTATCGTCGCCTAATTGTCTTGAATTTACTATGTTGACACTTCATAAGAAACGTATACCAGGCTCTGGCAGACAGGTTTTACCTTTAATAAGGCTTTTGATATCGAATTAAACCAGTCATTAACGGTTGCATCTTGATGTTTACGTGTTCGATCCACCCATTTAGGGTCAAATAGGCACCAATCTGGATGGCCAAGTTGCTTCTCTTCTGTCTGGACGTCCTTATTAGTAGCCTCGAATGGTGGGTGTACGCCAGATATAAACACCAACAGCTTATATTGTTGTAGAACGTCGTACTTTACTAGAGTTAGACTTAAATGATCACGACAAATTGTCCTCATAAATTATAATAGACTAAGAAAAGCGCCCGTCTTGAAAATAAAGCAAAACAAGAGCAGACCAAAGATGGATGAGGATGCTGCGAGACGTAGAGGGATGGAAAGACGGATTCGTTGGTAAAAAAAAGGCCTCTCTACAAGGCCCCACGACCGATTAAATTACGTAATAATCCCGTTGTAATTTTGAAAATAACACAATAAAGTTAGATTTAATGTAAAATTTTAAGTTTCTCCTTGACCTTTCTCTTCGTTACATATCAAGTTTTTCGATGGAAAGACCCGATATGTGAAGGAGAAGAGGTCACAGAGGAATTGTATAAGATGTTATCATCCTCTCGGATCACCGATCGTCAATTTAAGACAAGTGAATCGTACGATTCGGTCAGTAAAAAAGTACAGAATTTCTTAGATGATGCGGGGGAAAAAAAGAAAAAATCCATACCGACAGATTTTAAGCTTCGTGGAATCTTTACAAATGATAATTTGAATAATTTACAATGACGTTACGACGGCCAGACATTCAGACTACCAAATTTACGCATTAATTAATATACAAAAAAGTACAAAGTCTTTCATCGCCGGTAATTTCTCAATCAATTTTGCTGCTCTCTTACACAAGTTGTTATTAAATCCATTAATAACACATTTATCATTTCTGCTACAGAAAAACTACAGAAATTTTTTTTTTTTTTTTTTACTTCGGAATTAATAAAAATCGCCATCACTTACGATCATCATCCGAACAATTTATCATCGTAATCAGACATTAGTTTTTCCTTATTTAAACAACTGCCGCATACTTTTTACACGTGTTCACTTCACGAGGTGTCAATGAAACATCTCCGAATGATAATTTCGGCTGGACCAACTGGTTTTTATTAAAATATAAAATAGAAATTGAATCTTTACCTTTCGATTCGACTCCTAATGTCCTAAATCGGGAGCGCCCAATGTCACAAAACCCCCAAATAGCGTATAATTTGAGTATCCGAAGCGAGGAGGAACCTTCTATAATCGAAGGCCTCGTACTGTTTTACGTCAATCTCGTAAGGCCCTATTATAGAAGCTCCGACGTAATAAAACCCCCGATTTAGCACCCATTTCTCGGTCTCCGAGTAGAGCAAACACGGGAAATATATTTCATTCAAACAAAAGAAAAAAATGGTCGCCGTTTGGAGGTTGTTTCTTTCCTCCACTGTCCTTTATTACAGGTTCGACTGTAAGCAATTTTTCTTGTGTTCTTTCTACACGGGTCATACAGTATTTTTAAAAGCGGTAATGAATTTTGATTAAAAGCCTTTGCATATATCCCGGAGCTACAGGAAATTAAAGTAATTCCGAACGTCATTAGAAGTAAGAGTATAATTTCGCAAGTACTTCCGTTTGACATTCAAATTCTTTATTATCTATCAACTAAACACAACCCCCGTGATATCATTTATTTTCTGTCTAATAATAAATCAATTTTTCTTTTATTATTACACTAGATATTACTATAGTTTTTTTTAAAATGAGAAGAGTTATAAATCATCAAGTGAAGACAAGAAGCGGGATTAATGGAAATCTTCGGACACGTAATGTACTTTTCTCCAAATTACTCGAGTTTTAAACGGTAATTTTTACATACCTAATTACTATATAGGGGGAACGAAACAGTGTGTAAATTTGACGTCATTCCGTAGACTTTGTCATCGTCATATTGACGTAAAAACCACACCATCTTTGTCTTTATTTTGGAACGTATTCGTTAGTGTTCGGAGGAGGAATTAATTAGGAATACGTAATTAAATGCGAGCCGTAAGAATTGCGAATCCATTAGGAGATATTTCTGTGTGTGTGTGGGGAGGGGGGAGAGTCGAGATGAATACGGCGCGCGACATAAAATGCCAGTGTATAACACGTGGTTTACGTGGGTAATCTCGAGGTTTTACGCCAACGACCTTGAAAAGTACGCCAAGTGTCGGTCCTATTATGGTTAGAGAAGTAGAGGGAGCCGACAAATTTGCGTATGAATTGAGAAGAGGGAAGCACATTACCCAGGGAGGCGCAAGACGTCGAGTTTGGCATACCAGATTGGCTTACCTCGTTTCCCCAGTGCCGCGGCTCTCTTTATCTCGTAACCAAGGCAACAATTCTAGAAAAGAGCAACAAGTTTTCGTCAGAAAAAGGATGAAGTTTTTTCGATAATTACGGCCAAGAGGACAAGAAGAAAAAGAAGAAGAAGAACCCGAAAGTGTTATTAAATTTGATTTTAGAAATTTTGCTCTCCCCCCTTTCTCCCGCTCTGGCAAATTAATCTTCCTACCCGTTTTCTTCGCCGCCTCTTTTTGTTCGTTTTTTAACAAAGTGTTACGTCGTCGAGCTCGTAGTATTGTTCGGTATCCACGTCACAATCGATTCCGAGCATTCGCCCTTTGTCAAAGCTATCGCTCGACATTTAAAATAACTCCATAATTCTAGTGGATAGCGCGTTAATAAGGCCCGGTCTGGCCATATTTCTCGTCTCATACGTTTGGACGCGGCTCCAGGCCTGACGTATTTACACGTATTATTTAATTAAGGGGGGCCTGTCACATATTAGTGTCCAGGCCCGAACGTAGTGTAACACTACTGTACTTGGTGTTTACACAAGATTCCTTCTACTGTTAAATAATATAAAGCACAAAGTGTTAATTTACTAACGCCCCATTCCTTTAACGTACGGCTCTTACTTCCGTTTGTCGACGCGTCGAAGCGACGCGCCGCGCGAAAGTAAACGATAGACAAAAGGAACGTCGTTTCGGGAAGTTTTCGTCGAATCGCGAGTTCGCGCGGCACGCCTACGAAATCAACTTTCCTCACCGGTCGAAACTGGGGGTTGTCTTTTATCCCTCCCCCTACTACTTTCGACGCGTTAATCTGCGATTGTTACGCTAAAACGTCACAATTAGCGCGCGTCGGTTCTCGTTGCTACGCTTTGATGGGGTAGAGAACGTGTCCGAAAGCGTGCGGTAGGGCTGTCATCCCCTCCTCGTACCCGTATAGAAGAAGTTGCTGCGGCGTAGTGTAAAAGAATAAACGAGACGTCACGAAAATTTCATAGAATTTTATGTAATAACGGAGAATAAAAAACGTCACAGAGGAGTCGACTTTTGTCACGTTTTATAAATTACGTGTTAACAAATTAACAGAAAATGCTTTAAAATCGTTCCTCGTCTTTGTACAAAAGTTCAATAACTGTTTACGAGGGTCTAAAATCTTCGCCCTTCTCTAAGCTCGTTTCTACACACGTAATTCTACCCACCAGGGTAGGGACCGTCCTCGTTCCTCCGTCTCTTCTCTCTCCCCCCAAATTCGGTGGAGGGAAAGGCCTCTTCTTTCGGATTTTAAGCGGCGTCCACCCCGCGGGGGAAGAAAGGGGAGGAGGGCGATTGGAAAAGGAAGAGCGCACACAATGACGTAAATTGCGGAGCCGAAATCCTGGGTCTGGATAATTTTGTTAACCGGGAAGGAGACGAGAGATAAAAAAAACTCTTTCCCCCATTTCCGGAACTCGCCGTTCCTCGTTTCCGGTTCCGTCGCGGCTCCCTTTTCTCGGGAGGGAGCCTCCCGGCGGAGAGGGGGACTTAGGGGCCCTTCACCGCCCGAAAGGACGGGAGGTGGAGGGGCTCCGGGCGTTCTCCGTCCGCACGACAGAGCGGAGGAGGAGAGGGGGAAGAAGAGGGGGAGGAGGGCGTGACCGGACTGCGGAGAGGAGGCCGAAGGCGAGCATTCCGGACACGTCCGCGTCGTCCGCTCCGGCTAAATGTTTTCCGAAAGCCGTTTAGAGTCGGACGGATACTTAAACGCGTTTTTCGCCTCCCCGGGGGACGCTTCCGTCCCCTCTCACTTCTCCCCCGCTCGCGCCCATTCCCGCCCCTCTGCCTCCGCCGACGCCCGGATGTTCGGACACGCGGGAAACTAAGATAGGTAGAAGGCGCGCGGCCAGGCGGAAGCGCGCGCGCCGGTGGGAAAAGACGTCTTTCGGATTCCTCCCTTATTCTGGTGGAAGTGTCGGTCGGAAGGAACGTAACGACGGACCCTCTTCTTCCCCGCTCCCGTCGTATTCGGGAAGAAGAGGGCGAGAAGGGAAGACGAAGGCGGTTCCTCCCGCGCCGTCGACCTCCGCGCCTCTCGTCCGCGGGCGAAGGGCGCGGACGCGGTACGGGAAAGTTTTAAAACTAAGGCATCCGTCTAAGGGGCAGGGAGAGTTCAGAGGGGAGGAGGACCCCGGACGTAGCGCAGTTGGGGGGCGGTAGAGAAGTGCAGGTTGTTGACGGAGTCGCAGCATCGCGGCTCCAGCAGACGGGCCAAACAGTAGAGCAACACCAGAGCCAACTGGACGGGGATGGCCACTCGCAACACCCTGCGCAACAGAGAAGGCTTCTTCTTCTTCCTCCTCTCGTCTTCTTCTTCTTCTTCGTCCGGACGGATTTCGGAAGGTCTGAAACAGAAATGGAGTTTCGGTTACAAAAGAAATGGAGAAATTCGTTTCCCTCTCGCGGGGTCTTCGTCCGCCGGCACGCCACCGACCCGGACTCGAACCCGGATTCCCGGGAGCGAACGGGTGGAGACGTCGGCGGCTGAGGGGGGGGGAGAAAAGAGAACCTCCCACGCTACCAACTGGCGCTTCCTCGTCATTGGTCACGTTTCCGCTCGAGCGTCTTTCAGCGACGAATTTCCAATTAGATCCGTCGTTCTACTCCGTTCTCTCCCGTCCTCCGCCAATCGTCTTGGCCACAAGGCGCGTCTTTCGCGTCGAAATTCCCACCCGGGGAGACCGCGCGGAGTTTTCGTGGCAAACCGCGATTACTTTCTTTTACGACCAATTACGGCATCCGGCCGAGGACACAAATAATTTCCAGGGACACAACCGTGTAATTTCCAGTCGTTTCTCTTCCGCTTCGTTTCGTCCACCGGGTTTTCGGGTCCTCGCTCGTTAAACCCCCCCGCCCGTCCCGTCGTCGCTTCCCCACTCCTCGCGCCAGGTACGCGACGTCGCGGGAGTACGCCAAACTTCCACTACACGTTTGAGATCGCTCCTTGGCCAGTAGGGCGGAGGGGGAAATCATGGCTCGTTCGGAACTACCTTCGTCTTCGTACCCTCCCCGCACGAGAATTCTCCAATTTTAGGTCGGGAGTCGTTTTGGGTCGGCGCTCCGAGTGGTTCCCCGGGGGCGGGCCGGTCGGTGGCCGCCAACCGCTCATTTCGGTCGATATATCATGGGAACGAGAGAAGCTCTTTTATGGCTTTTTGGCACGCGACCTCTTAACGAGGGCCGACGACTCAGAAAGGGCCCGACGCCTGTAAATAACCTTAGTTCCACGTCCGGGATGCGAGTCGCGCGCCCGCGCGCGCCGACCGTCCGACGGTCCCTCTTACCCCTCAAACGCCTTCTCCTCCTCCTCCTCCTCCTCCTCGCGCTGTTCCTTCGGTCGGCGCGCCTCCGGCTCGAGCGACTCGGAGGCCTCCCGGATGCCGGGGAGGGCCGGGCTACCCTCCAGACGTTGTTCCAATTCTTGGACCAAGGCGCGCAGCTCCTCCAGTCCTCGGTCTCGTTCTTGGTCCTACTCGAAAGTAAAGAAAGTGGGTGAGAAAAGGGCGGGGCTTCCTCCCCTTCCGGCCCTTCTACTTACCGAAATTTCAGGAGAAAAGTTTTCTAGTCTTCGACACAGGTCCAGGAACCTGCTCCACAGATTCCGGGTCAGTTGCAGTTCGGCCGACAGGTCTCGGTTGCTGTGAGAACGATTACGTCAGAGAGGACCCTCGGGCGCGTTCCGTAATTGCCCCCTCGACGTCGGTCGTCGGACGGAGGCCATCTGCCGGGCCGTTTCCGAGCGGGAGTTCGCCCCGGGGCCTTACCCATCCATCAGACGCGCGCTCCCCCTTCGCCGACCGCTTTCAATTTGGAGGGCCACACAGGAGGGCGGAAAGCGCCTCCGGACCTGGTCCCGGGGAGGCCCTCCTCCCAACTCCTTCGGTTCGGGAGCGGGGAGGACCAAATGGGCGCCGGCGGAAAGGCCTCTCGGCCCGTCGCGTCGCGCCGCGTCGAGGGTGGCGGCGCCACTTACCGTCGATAGACTCCTTCCCACAGACGATAGGACTCGGTGACCTTCTCCGGTAGGGAGGGGTCGTTGCGGCGACGCACTCGCAGGTTGACGGCCAGCAGCCGCTCCCTGGTCTCCTGCAGGGCGCGCAGCGACACCTGTCCGAAAGAGAGAGACAACGTCAGTACGTGAATCGAAAAGGGGGTGGGCGGCGCGTCAGTTCCGCGTGCGAAGTCGGGCGGCCGGATCGCGCGGGGGGCGATCGAAGACGTCCATTTACCGTAAACCAATTTGGGCGGACGGTCCTCCGGGATTCCGCCCAATTACGACCCGGGATCGTCGAGCATACCAATGCGCTCGGCGCCGCCGTCCGCTCGACATCGGGGAAGGACGGACGCTCGGCGTCGTCGCCGTCCGCCCGCCCCCGTCGTTAGCGGCGGGCGCGCGCTTAAGTGGACGACGCGACCCCCGGGACGTGAGTGGAGTGACGAGCGTCGATCGATGCGCCTCTCGCGCCGCGGGCGATAATTGCGCCCCGAACCCAGTAATTGCACTTTTCCCTCCGACTCCCGACCCCGGCGCTCGAGTGCCGCCATCTGTCGGCGGCCGCCGGAACCCGACTGTGGCGACGTAATCACCTGCAACGAGTCGATCTTCTCCTCCAGTCGGTCGAAAGAGGGCGCGGGCGAGTACTCCTCCGACTCCAGCTCCCTCACCGAGCGGTCCAACTCCTCCAGATTCTCCCTCAGCTGCTGGCTCTCCTCCTCTTCCCCCGGTTTCTCTCCCTCCGCTTCCGCATCCTCCTCCGGCGGCTCCAACTCGTTCTCCATCGTTTCCCACTTCTCGATCAGTCCTGAAAAACCAGGGAACTGCGTAAATTCCGAGACTTAGTTCGCCTCCCGTCCCGTAGATGGCGCCACCAGCTACGGAACGTGATAAGCCAACGTAATCGAGTAGCGCGCGCGCCGAACCTCGCGCACTTTCGAAAACGGAAAAAGAAAAAAAAAAAGGCGGAAGTACTCACCTCTGACGTCGAATCGGGCGTTTTCTCGCGTGCTGCTCAAATGGTCGTCGATCAGCAACAGACAATGCAGATGAGCGCGGCAGGTGGCGATCAGCTCCGCCTGTCGACGTAAATCCGGGGATTAGGCTCTGTACTTCCGGGTGGGGCGCGCCCGCTCTTCGCTCCCGAAATAAAAGGAAGGAGGAAGGGCACGGTTGCCAAAAACAGCCGTTTACAAATAAGGTAAACTACGTTCCCCGCCGGCCGACAGACGGCGACACTCGAACCTCTCTCCCTCCCCCTTTCCGAAATAACTCGTTACGTCACCCACTTTCCTCCCGCGCCAAGAAACGGTAAAAAAACGACTTCGACTACGCCCTCGCGCGTAGTTTTCACACGTAAGCGGAACCCGTGTAAGTTATCGCTACGCGCCGGCCTAGGTCGGAGGGGGAGGAGGACATTCTATGCTCGACACTTCCGGTTTGGTAACAATCGAAACGACCGGGGGGGAGAAACGGTGGCTTCTAACTTCTACTTATCGCTTCGGGTGCCAGATGGCGCGACCGTTTTTTTTCGTCCGGGGAGTTCCGAGTTATAAATAAAAGGGCTTTTTTTGCCACGCGTGGACGAAAATCGTTAATGCGGCGGTTGTGTCCGAGTGGCGGGCGACAAGAGCTGTCCCTCGATCGATAACCCCCCCCCCCAACAAGCCGTTTGGTATCTGGCGAGTGTGACGTTAAAGTTAAAGCTCCCCCACCCATTTACGCGGGGGGAAAGGGAAGACTATCCCCCGTAGAAAGGGGTCCGCTGTTCTAATTAGCCTAATGAAGTGATTACGTAGTGTTCCCTATACTGTTAAGTGGCGTAAAAACTATTGCACGGGAAGAAACTGAGTGGACACAAAAGGAAGTGTGCTGGCAACTCGCCATTTTTTTTTTCCTTCCTGTCCCCCAGAATAACACGAGAAACACATGAAAAATAGAAACGTGCAGTATGATCAATTATGTAGATTACAAGACCCGAATAACTGTTGTTTATTCCGGAATCGTAGCGATTTTTTGGTACGTAATTATCCACGTGACCCGCCAGATTTAAGTAATTGCCAGTCACGTGACTTATCTGACCCCCCCAATAACAAACGCACTAGCTACGAGGCCCATTACGTTTGTTTCTTCCTCTCCTTATACACTCGAAATTACAAAAATTAATTTTCTAGATTTTAGAATTCTATTATGCGGATTTGGGCCCGGGCCCCAGGACTTTTTAAACTCTTTCCGTCCCGTGGGCACTAAAAGAACCTCTTTTCTATTCCCATCGTGGGGGCCGAGTGGTGGGGATGGGGCCCGACCGGAGCCGTCGAGAGCTCGTAGGGGACACGAGGTAGAGAGGCCCTTTTGCCCATAGGGCCCGCTATACCCCGAAAAAACAAATAGCATTAATTTTTAGGGGTAAGAACCACTAAGGACCCGTAAATTTTCTCCGGATCCTGGGAAAAATCCCTATCTTTCCCCCTCTCGACGGCCCCGTGTGATAAATATATACATCACGTTATAAGAAATATGGAAATAAGACGAAAACGTTGACAATTAACTCGATATTACGAATTTTAATATCAATTTTCCCCGTTTTAGCGTTTATAAGAAGGCGTCATCGATCGGAAATCGCAGAAACATTAGAAAATTTCTATTTCTTATAGTCGCCACCGGATGGCGCCACCTTTCTTATTGGTCGCCATCCCAGAAAGATACGTACTTGTGCAGTACTGTAAGTCTTTCGGAAGGGAAATGGCGGCGATTTTTCGCTATTAAACTGATAGTTTAGTAGGTTAGTAAAAACTGCCCTTATTAACTAATCTATATACTTATTTATTTTTTTAAAATTCTTATCTAGAAACACTGATAAAATGATAAAGACTGGTTTAATATGAATTATCGTCGTCATCGGTGCACCAAATCGACACGATTACGTCATTTACCCGGGGGGTACAACACAAAAACAATTTCGAAGCCTGTGGTATTCGCGCAGATCTACACTGCAGCGCCTTCAGAAAAGAAATACGAATTCAAATTTGTACGGACGGGGCGCTCACTACTTCGGCCAGGGGTTTTGTTTACGGGCCATTTACCGGAAAAGACAGCAATTATAAGGTTCGTCTCCTGCGGGACCATCGCAGAGGGAAGCTGGGGATTTATTCCGGGTCTGGAGAAAAATTTAGGGGCCCTTAGAAATAAAATTTTTTAAGACTGCTTTTTGTCAATAAAGTAATATTCTATATATTTCATTTATTCAAAAAAACAAGACTAAAGAGGCCCACTCTAACCGGGCCCTGTACAAACTCATCCACGGTGCCTAGTGTCGAGTCACGTGAGTATCAACACAAATGTGTTGGGCGTGTCACGTGGTACCAACTCGACACGCTCTCAACACGCCTGTCGATACTCACATGACTCCAGGCCTTAGCTAGGGTGGACCGAACTGAGGGGCCCCTAGGCACGTGTACACATTTAATAATTCTTTATCGAACGCAACACGAGGGCGATCGGCCAAGAGATGGGGGATTTTCTACGTGAATCGACACGTGAAGAAAATCCGGGAAACTCCACGTGGAACTCGTTTATATATTTAATTAGTTAAGGTTACGCGGGAATCGGTGACAATCGCCATGACGTAACAAGGGAAGATCGAGTATTTTACCTCTTTCTATCCATCCGAGCCAATTTTATTATTCAATTGACTAACCCGGATGATAAAGACAGATAAGTCTTTATAACTTAATTACAAGTTTTAACATACGTAACAAGAACACTTAACGTATCTTTGACCCACATCTTAACTAGATTTAATTACGAGTTTAAATTCGGTTACGGACGGAGCTCGTAAACCTCCGTCAAGTGAACACCAGGATACGTTTTCCCTACCTTAAGTACTCCTAAAGATGCGCATAGATTCGAAAGTCGCGTAAAAAACGGGCACCCGAAAGGGTGAACTTGCAGGCGTAACGTCAGACATGTTAACACGCGTTTGACACTTTACACACACGCGATTCTGTGACTTACAAGTGACCTCATAACGAAGCACTCTTTACCTAGACTTTTGAATCACCCTGTAGTGTTCCTATAAATTAGTGACCTAAATGCTCACGAGGTACAAAAAATTCGCTGTTTTTCTTGCCTACGTCACGGATGGCCAAAATTTCCAGGTATCGATCTTTCGCCCTCGCAATTTCCCATCGAAATTGCATGGAGTTTACAGAATATCGAGAAAATGCACGCGAAAAATACAATAGACTTAGCAGTAACGGTTAATCGCATTGTAAGAAATTTCTCCTTTGCAGGATTAATAATGCTGCAGTATGCAGTTACGCCTGCTTTTTGTACTATCAACGAGTGGGTAACACCACCAAACATTCGTGGGTTCGCGCGTGACCAACGAGCTGGAGTTTTCGTGTTTACTTCATCTAAATGAGGGTCAGTTTCCCGTAGAAAGTCCTCCTCCCTTGACAGATTAGATCGCCCACGTGTTGCGCTGCATCATGCCATCAATCCAAACCTCTGCACCAGAAGCCAATATCTGTTCAACACTGTAACGAAGACACCAGTCGAGTCAGAAATCGGAACTAAACGCACCTACCAACGTATTGGATGTATACGAATGCTCCGATTACGTAAATTTATCCTATAATTCGCCCTTTGCAAACTCGTGTTGGGTCTTCGGCACCACACAGCACGCAGCAAACGCAAACGTTTTCGAAAGTTGCCGCACCATTTCGTGCCACGTAAACTCGAGAATGGTACGAACACTTAATTTTGCATTTTAATCCTGGTGTTTTCATTTAATACCACATAAAAATACTTTATATAGGTTAACACTCTTCGGGTTTTTTTTGCGTTGCGACTTTATTCTCGGTTTTAAAACCGAATTTGGAATTAAATATCCGGTTTCTAATTTCAAACTCGAAATTTTACTCTCTCCTTTTTTGTTTTCCCTCCCTTATAGGGGATGGAATAGAGTGAAAGCCCTACAGTTTGGTTTATATGGTTACGGCAACGCGACACGTGGGAGATCTGTCGAGGGAGGATGCCTCCTTGATAGGTTTTATGGAAACTGCCCCCCCATTTAGGTGTTACAAACGTGAAGAAAACCCGGAAAATGCCGCGTGACCAGGCGCGAACCCACGACCAGTGTTCGGTGGTTTTATCTACTCGGGAACTGGTGAAGATCCTACAGAATTTTCTCACATAGTTTTAGTGCTAAGGCATAAAGGTTGTAGCAAAGTGACGTAATCGAAGAGGTACTCCAATAAAACTAACCCAAACTAAACTAATCCTCGTTAACTCTCACTCGAATCCTCATTATGTAAATTAATCACCCCCTTAGTAGCTCGTCCAAGGCCGATTCTACCCCTTTCCATAGTACTTCGAATACAATTAATGTTTCCACGTATTTAAATTCTTAAAGAACAAACAAACGCGAGCGGAACGAGTAAATTGCTCCATCCTCGATTGGCCAATCGCCGACGTCCTTACTCGAAAGAGTGATTCCGAGTTATGCTCTTTAAACTATTTTGGGGTGTCGAGCATTTTACTATTTAGGTTAATACAAATGCGCGTTGTCACCCCCTCACGCGGGTTTTTTTCTTTTTTTTTCGTTCCTTAAACAACCGAACCTCCCCCTCAAATACTTCAAAAATGGAGGGTTGGAACGTCATAGTAGAATGGATTCCAATTGTTCTACATTCGGGGGTGAATAATGCGCACGCGATGAAAAGTAAAACGGAATCAATACCGGAACTTTAATATTAAAACATCCCGGATAAAAGAAAACGGGCGCTCCTTCCTCCATTTTAAATAGGGATGTGGAAAAAACAGGCGCATCCCGGAAACGACAGTTAAACTTATGACTTCGAACAATACAAAAAAAAAAAATAATAATAACACGGAGCTCACCTTTTGGGCGGAGGTGAGGCCGCGCCTATCTGCCAGGCTACTGCGCGCCACGTGCAAGGCTCTGGTAGCCTGATCGATGACGTAGAGAAAGTCTTCTTCGTCGGAATCGGTGTACGACCGCTCTCGCTCCTCCCCTTCCGGAGCAAGCGGCGGAGGGGGAGGAGGGGGAGCCTCCATTAGGTCGCCGTAGTCGTCGCCGAATTCCGTGACCTTTCTGAACTCTTCCTGGTCCACCGTCGACTCGGTGTAGGACTCGCTCAGGTATAACGGATCCTGAAACGACGACGAAGGCGGTCAGGAGGGAATGGGATCGAGACGAGGACCGAGACCCACTTACCTGGTATCCGTCCCACACCTGGTCCGAGATGGAGCTCGTCTCCTCTGCGGTGGGCGGCGCTCGATGGCACGCGCCGAAATCCTCTACCTGAGAGAGACAATTGGATTTAACACCGAGAAGAAACCCGTCGAGCCGTTCTTAGACAAATACCTTACACGTAAGTCGGAAGAGGGAGAGTGGCAGTCGTCTTCCGGGTCGGAAGAAGCGGAAGAGCTTCTGTCGCGAGCGCACCCTTCCGATCCCCCAGAGAAGGTGCTCCTGACAGAACGAGAACGTCTCCAGCGCGTGCGAAGCCGCGCGGAGTTCCTGCAAAAGGAGAGGAAGTGAGGAAAAGGAGAGAGAGAGAGAGAGAGAGAAACAAATGCCGACACTTACAGTTTGGTGAGGGAACCGGGCATGGGCCACGCACTGAGTTCCGCATTAGAAGCGAAAAGAGTGACGTCGGGGCTCTTTCTTTGGTATAGGTCCGTCATGCTCCTGGGTCTTCCTCTCCTCCGACCGGAAGAGATCCTTCTCCACTCGGGGCTCTTCCGGTCCCTCTTGCACGAGACTGCCTCCGCCCAAACGCGGGTCGGGGGTTGGTCGTCCGAATCGTCGGTGGTGTACTCTCCACTGGCATCGCACGAGCCGTCCATCTCTCCCGGGATCTTCTCGATAGCCGAGGGGCCTCGGGGGCCCTCCGAGGATCCGTCTCGTTCGTCGTCGCTAGAGTAGCCCACGTCGCGAGCCACCTCCGGTCCCGGGTCCTGCGAGGGTCTTTCCGCTACCATGTCGATCGTCGTCTCGCCCTACGCCACCTGCCAGCGACGGAAGAGGCGCGTTAGTCGAGTTTGCGCTGCGCGTTCCGCGCCGCCAACTCTAAACTCGAAGCAATTCGACCCTCACCCTACATCTCCATTCGCCGGGAACGAATTATCGCGTGTCTAATCGCCTAAGTATTCCGGCCGAAGACGGCCCGAGGCACCCCTTTCCGGCTCCGACACTCCCTTCGACCCTAACTCGCGCCGGGTGATCGTCCTCGGCCGCGTTACGTCACCCCATTGTTTCGGCCGAAACTCGGTCGAATACTACCGCGCGCGCGGTTCAAGGCGAACCGGCGTCGCGTCGCGTCACGATTACGCCGCGCCAAACCGGGGGCTTTCTTACTCGCCGGTTACGCCAGTAGCGACGCGACGATGTCACGTGTTACGCACTTCTCAGACGGGACGGATTTTATCGCGTGATACCCTCGAACGTTCGCGTCGCGTAACTCGAGAGTAAGCGCTCGGCGTCGAGCCACCCAGCGGTCACTTTCTCCAATTACTCTACCCCGTCCCAAATCCGGTCGGGCCATTCCTCGCCCACGCGCTTCCTCCGCTGGCGTGAGAGAAGTCGTCACGCCATCCTCATCCTCCCAAACGAGGGGAAAACGAGACGGTTCGTGTCGTCATTTAACGCTCAAATTCGGAGACGGCACCGAGAGGCATGTCGCCGCTGACGTAACAATGCCTCGATTTACCTTTCTTGTAACCTCTCAAACCCCTCCTCTCGTAGGCTACTTAAATCCCAACCTCCATTCTTCCGGTAGGCTGTGACGTACGCGTTACGGGTGTTACACTCGTTTTTTTAAGCACCGTAAGAGCTAAATTTAACAGCCTTTTCCCTCGGAGGGGAGTTAAAATGTCTGTCTCGAACGTTATACATTTACCAGACCATAGAAACGCGCGACAATTTTACCGGAAAAACGAGTTACGCGCACCATTGGCGCAGAAACTAAACGACTACGTAGCGCTCCGACGCGTCGGTTACGCGACGATTCGAATGGAATGACGTAATCTCACGGACGAATAACCGAATTTCCGTCGTTACGATCGAGTGCCCGGAGAGATTCGTTTAACCGTGCCTTAGAATATTTCCCTACGTATTCGTTTACGTTCCCCCCTTTAATTTCCCCGAAAATAGAAGGAGTATACGGTTTCGCGACGCCATTACAAAAGGTGCGGGTTCGACGCTACAAAAGATTAATCTCTCGTGTCCGAAAGTAGTTTGCGTTGGTCACGTGCCCGGACGTCGTTTACCTTGGCCAATCCGGTAAGTTACGTGTTAAGAAACGAGACGGGAACTCACCTGAAGGAGAAAGAGTGGCGCGTGGGTCGACGTGGCTTTCACCTCTCGGACGTTACGCGTTTACCGTCTACGTGGCGCATTTCCGTCGAACGTCACCGTCGCGTCCACATTTAATGCCAACGATATTACCTTTCGGTGATCTCGGGCGACGTTTTCCTCCCCCCGCGACGTCGACGTTGATGTTTTCGCGACGCCATCGTAACGAAAGCGTAACAAGCGAATCGGCCTCGAATCCGATGACGAAGGAGAAAGAGGAAAAATCGACAATTGACGGACTTTTCGTTTCCTCCGACACAATAAACGAAGCGCAAAACTTTCGAGAAAAAAACGAGGAAACGAGTACGGTTTAGGGAAAAATCCCTACCGAAAATAATGACGTCAGCAACGACCGTGGTGCATCAGTAAAGAGAAATTTTGAAACGGCGCGTGACGCGTTTCAAAATTCTCTATACTGATGCGCCACGGTCTGGGGAATAATTTAAATAAATACTTTCCGTTCTGGGGAATCCGGGATCGAACCCGGCAATCCTAGAATTTTTCAAGAGTGGTCCGTCCGGGATAAATCGTGCTCGGCCTAACCCACGATCGATAAGCTTTAAAAAAAGCCCTCTTAGTGCCCACAGAATAGAAAATTAAAAACACTACTACTCGCGTTTGTCCCATAACCCTCAGGATGTTCGATGGTACAAAGATGGTCCCAGAACGCTTGGTACAGGATAGCCATAGCCCATAGCTCTAAAAAACGCGCGCGTTCAAATGGAATTCGAACTCGGATCCCTCCGGTTGGCAGATTTTGCACGGCCATCCGAAACAATCCCATAATTCTTTTTTTTTTTTTTTGTTAGAAATACTTCACGCTTCGAACTTCATTAGAGAAATCTTCCGAATTCCCCTATTTACAATGCGTAAGTCGGAAGTTAAGGCAGATGCACGCGGGCGACAAAATTACGACGACAATCGGCCCCAACCAATCGCGTACCTCGACCTTTCGTATAGCGAAATCTGAAATCGCCGTGTTTAACGTCACGTATTACGAACCCGTTCCCTTCTTTTATGTCGCCGAACCAGGCGGTGCACGTGACTCTTTACACGCTAGCGAAAGTCCTTCGAGTGAAACTATCCACGAAGGACTTTCCACGGGAAACTGGCCCCTATTGGCTCGAATTGGGTGGAGAACCCCAGACGATCGAGTCCGAACCCTCGACCTTATAACATTATACAGGGCACGAGCTTCGTTTCAGGTATTGTCACAGCAAGCACTGTACGTTGGACACCGATCCAACGTACGGTAATAAAACGAGACCGTTGTTTATTATTCCCAGCAGGTGTGATAGTTAAGGTATGCGTCATACATCGTTTTTATAGGCGGCCACCATTTTAAAAAAAAGTATTACGTCATACGATGCAGGCGACGGCAGGTTCATTAAGAAATTTAGGGGTGTCCGGGTGAAATTGTGTCGGATCCATCACTCGATGAGAATTTTTTTTACGTGTAAAGACCGACGGATCGGAGGGGGCTGCGCGTGAAGAGACTAAGAAACAATTCCCTTTCCGTTTATGGAAAGCGATCCAATTGTTCTCTGCTATTGTTAAGAGGCTCTCCCACGTTTTAATTCGAATTTTAATCCTTTAATGGGGCGATCGGAATTCGACCTTCGACACACTAGCGAACAAAAGTACGGTACCCGTAGGCACACTAGTTAAACACTGAACCCAACAGGGACTTTTTATATAAGAACACGAGAATTAAATAGGCGAAATTCATTCGATTGTTCGGCCTCTACCAGATTTTTTTCATTAAATATTGTTTATAAATAAGATTCAATTAAACAGACCTTGCTCGGTAGGTACAGGTAAAACAAAGCGATACGGCATCCAAGGACGTCAACCATCCTCCTACGTCGAACGTCACGCCCCCTCGATTTATCCAAACAAAACAAAAACACACTTACTTTGTACGTTAACCTTTTGTTGACTGGAAGGTGGCAGGTGGATACCGGTTCCACCCCCGAATCGCGACAGTAATTGGGGGAGGAATCGCCCGACAATTCAGAAAACACGGGGCTAGTGTTTATCACCTTTTCCCCTCGTGTTAAAAGATAACTGCAGACACTTTTTTCTCGCCGAGGTATTAGGAACGCTTAAGCCAAAATTAATTGTCGATTTGATTGTTTTCCTCCTTTTTTGTGGAAAAGGTGATTCCTGGAAATTCACTGTAAACAATAAACCTGTTTGGAAAGTAAACGTTTCCTATTCGTTAAATACGTCAATTCGCCAACTATGATGTGTTTTTTCATGTCCAAAGTGTGGTGTAAACACGTGCTAATTGCTGTATATATAAAAAAACACCAAAAAGCATTCTTTACTCTAAAGCGCAATGTATGGAAACGAGAGAATTGCACCCCCCAAATTACTAAGACGAGGATGAATAATGGATGTGACGTTCTTCTGTTTGATACACCCAAAAATGCTCTGGACCATTTTCTAACCCATGTTTTCATTTACTAAACCAGTATCATCTTCCTCCCCTTCCAATACTATCAGTTCTAGTCAGATTTTCTACTTGGGATCATCTCTCTTCTTAGTCTTGTTGAGAGACAAGAATAACGATTTAGACCTTTTTTAACTATAAATAATTGTTAAACTGATAATTACATAATGAAAAAATTCTCCTGTGTCAATTTGGAAACTGAAATGAAGTGTTTTAGACTTTAGAGAGAACTCCTGTAAGAGAATATGAATCAATTTTGTTTATCTAACTGTATTGTGAAAGTTACCATTAGAGTCTTTCTGCAAATTTAAAGCTTCGGAAAGTGTTTCTGGCAATGTGTTTCCCAGAAGTTGGGTTTAGTGGTCCGAAGTACAGAAGTTGCGAGAATGGAAGTTATTACAATGGTAATGTGACCTTAGTTTAAATTAAAACATTAGTAATGCTCAATTGTTAGTACAGAACTGTGAATTGAAAGGTACTGTACCTTTACTTTGTTTACCATAAACAGTAATTTAAAATGTAATTAGTGGAAATTACAACCAAAAAATTGGAAAAGTCTTTATGTAGTGTACCTGTGTCTTCCCTTAGCAATCTGGTGTTCTTCTGCAAAGTCTTCTTTGGTCTCTTTAATGTGTTATAATAAGCAATTGTCAGGTTCAAAATAAAACAAAAATGTGCTTGTGTGGAGGAGTCCCATCTTCCGGAAGAATACAGAAAAACTCGTATGTCACTACGAAAAGTGCCCACGCAAACTAGGTAACTGTACAGAGAGAGAGGTAAAATTAGTGAAACGTAGCACCATTTATTCAATCTCGGATTTTGGAAAACAAAAAAACTAGGGTGCCCGAAATTCCAAACTACACTTATATTTAACTCTCGAAACAAAACGACACATTCTCTGTCATTTTTCCAGAAGTTCGGTACAAATATTTATCTCGTGTGACAAATGCTCGATCTCGAGATGCTGTCATTATGGCAAACGTCAAGGTGACAGGTCAGAAAAATTTTCCTATGTCTTGCGTAAGGTCTGGATTGCGCACTGTTTGGTTTTCATTTGTTCGCCAAGCAACTGTGAAAACGTGGTTGTGCATTCAGAATATTGCTTTTATCCACAAAATTATAGAAAATTTGTGCACTACTAATTATAAGCACTGGAACAAACTTGTGACTATGTAGAGAAAAAGAGCCATATCAAAGTGTAATGTAGTATTATTAGTGTTTTATAATAAAAGAATAGGGAACCCTATTTTCTGAACTATCCTCATAATAAAATGTATTTTTAGCATATGAAACCAAATTTTTAAAATATAATTTTACCATTTTCCTATACAGGGTGGTTCCAAACTATGGGGAGACACTTCAAGTGTGGTGTTCTGACAAAGAACAAAAATGGTCATAGCAATACATGTACAGAAATGTACAGTACCAGTGAAAAGATAGGACTTCTTCTGTGTCCCATTTTCCACATTCTCTGACAGATTAAAGTTGAGAGAAAGGCCTGCTCGGTGACCACACCTCAACTCCCTTAATTTTTACTCGTGGCAACATCTGAAAAGTGTTACATATACCGAACCAATTCCCAATGGATATTAGAGCAACATGCAGATGTTACCCATAACACTGTTGGAATAACGGCAAGTGCATCAATCCACAATACATGCGACGACTTATAAATGAGACACGTCAAACATCTACTGCGACTCTGACCAAGATACGCATGTCTTACCATCATGCATGTTATATCCCCGGTGCACCACTCGTGATACCCAGTAGTGTGATCTCTCTGAAACCAGAGAATTTTTGGACACACATTAACGGGACCACTTTTGTTCTTTGTCCTACCGAGAGTCTATTTCCAAAGTTTGTCTCCATAGTTTGGAACTGCTCCGTGGAATATTTGAACATACAATTTTCAACTTCTTTGTTTGACATAATACACCATGAATTTACTACAGTTAATTCCCCGTTCCCAATTTCTGACATACACATGACAGTCGTAGACAGAAAATGAACAACTGGATCTTTATCGGTCGGTAATGATTTTGTACACCTGAACAGAAAAAAAATGGAATTTATTGACAAAATAGGAGAAAAATTCTAACAATTTGTAGTGGATCCTAACCAGAATGTCAAAGAAATTAAATTTGATTAGCAAAATAAGCCATAATTTCTCTTGTAAATTTTACCATGCTAGTGCATTTATAATAGACTAGGATATAATTTGTTAAGTTTTTTAATAATTAAATACAAAACTTTTTTACATATAACTAACTACATAACACTGTTGACAGATGACATAAGTATAAAATTGTAAAAGTAATTGCAATAATTATTTGAATGTTGCAACAAACTAATTGAAAACATAATACTGTGGATTATGCAATGCTGTTTTTATCAAAATAATAATGGAATAATACTAAACTCTAACATAGTTTTAAGTACTTTTGGCATTAAAGTAGCTAAAGTATTCTGTAGGTTTAGTGATGCAATTTTTACAGGGTGTTCTATAAGTCTAGAAGCACAGGAATTATTCTTATATATTGTTTTCTGGTTATTCTTTTACACTTAAGGTACGGCATTGGGAAAGAAGAACAAATTCAAATTATCTCGAAGGTAGGGAGAAGGCATTTCGAGAGAAGTCGGCGAAGAGCTGCTTCCAGACCTCCAAGGATATCTGGATATTCTGCTAAAATCTTCGCAGACTTCTTGCCAAAGATGGGTTCCGTCATCAAAATAATTTGAGTATCTCTCCAAAAAATTTCTGACAAAGGTGGAGGGCGCTTATAAGTTTCTCCCTGACGTGTTAGATCTAGCACACTTGATGGTGCACCCTTCCTTCTTTGAATACAAAGATGTCACCTACCTACAAATGAGGGGTGTACCAATACTAGGTACTCTGTGTTAACTAGTGGTCAGAAAGCATGAGATCACCATATTACCTAAATTTCATGAGGATATAGCATTGTATGTCAGATACATTGATGACATTCTCATAGCATGAAACAAAATACCTAACCTTAACTCAGCACTTAGATACTTTAAGGATAATTTTGGCCTGTCATTGAGGGTTGAACAAGAGAGTTGTATAATGGTACATTTTTTGAATATCAACATCAAATTGATACACAGTCATCTTTCCATCTGTGTTTTTGATAAGAAGTCATATTCACCTCTATTTATACTTACTGTAACAAAGTCTCCGCTTTTCGAACTCTAGTAAAAATGGCCTACACCCATTGTTTGGAGCAAAGTGGAAAGGAAAATGAATTGTCTTGGATCAAGGCCTTGGCAATACAACATGGATACCCGTCCTCTTTGGTCAAACATCTCGTAAAACAATATCTAAGTAAGGGGAACAGAACTATTCCACAAGAAGAATGAACGAAAGTTATCACATATAACAAAACACTTTCTAATATATATAGAGAAATCGCCAGGACTACTAAAGTGCACTTGGCATATCGATGCACTCCGGCAATCTTTTCGCTAATCAGAAATGATAAAACAATATATACAACTCACATTCTCCGTCAACTGCTCATTAATATACATTGGAGTGACAGTGAGAGGTCTCACCACGAGGATGAAGGAGCATGAAAATTTTATAAGAAAAATGCTCTCAACTATGGTGTTAGCAACGTATGCAGGTAGTGATGATGTGCAAGCTGAACTGCAGAACATAAAATTGTTATACAGGGTGTCGGATAAAGCATAACTCAAGCACCTGGAGGCAGTTGAGATCTATCGAGCAATTAAATAGGGAGTCGCTATTAATTTCATGGAAACGGACACGCTCTCCACAGCATGGAGCACCATTTTTGAACTAGATTCCGTCAACAAAACACGCATTAATGATAATTTAAATTACATACAATATATGTATTATAATAATTAATGAGAAATTAATTAATTATTTATTCTTTTATCGTTTAAATAATATACATATTTTGAAATTATATCCCGAACATAAATTTTAAATGCAATATATTCAAATTATGTAATCAATTGGAACATTGAAAAAAAGCATTCAATTTTTGTTAGCCATTTTGTTCCATATTGTTTTTACCTGATGGTGTCTTTTATATAGACGAAAACATTAGTAAATTTTTTCTTTTCAAAATAATTTGAGTCTGTTCCTTCGTTCTCTTCGTGGTTTATCTGTGAAAAAACAAAGATTGGCATAACTTCTAAAGTTTCAGACTTAGGGAACACCCTATATAATTATCCAAATTATATGCACAACTGGAAGAGCAAAATTATGGAATAAAACTAGAATGACAGGAAATCTTAATGTTAATTTGATATATTAAAACTGGATAATTTTACCGATATATTGGGTAGACTCTTGATGTTTAAGCTTGATTCTTGAACACGATGGCTAAGACATGACGTACAAGGGCATGTCGGTAGCCACATTTACAGGAAGTTCACTTAAAAATTCTCTCTTTCTACGCTTAATTTGATGGCACTTTAATTATTTACATTTACATCAGAAAATAGACAGAAAGGATGAAAAATGTAAGTGCACAATAGTAAGTTCATTTAAGATAGTGTGTGTTATTTAATAAATTACATCCTTCTATTAGAATTAAATTATATTAATAAATGATTATTATTATTTACAAAATACCTCAAAGTTTTCCTCGAAGAGCGTGCGAAGAATTGCGGCAACTTTCAGTATTTGTCTTCTACAAATATATCCACAGATTAATAGAATACTCTAGAGTTTCCTCGTTTGAATGTAATCAAACTAAAAATTGAAGATAGCTCTTTCAAAATACAGTTTGGAATGTCTGTCAAATGAAAATAAACCAAATTTAATCATCATTTAAGAACTTAACATTAGAATTAAGAATACAGAATTTGTTTACAACTGGACGAAGTGGAGAAATATCGACCCACCACACCTCTTCGTACATTCTTCCCTCATTGTCTACCTGCCAACCCATAACAGGTTCAAAAACAAAAGCTCTTAGAATTAATTACACCAAATATATACATATATAATTCCATATACAAAAATTATCGTATATCTCAGTGACTGTAAAATGCACTCCGACAATACAACACCCGTCAGAGGAAGGCTAAGTCGGCAACCAACAGGTAAGACAGCGCCTTAAATTCTATAGGATAACTGTCGTAATTATTAATAAATACAATTTTACAAGATAAAAACAAATAATTAAATCAAATAATTTATTATTTAATATTTTACATAAAGCTAATTGCTTTTTTGAGTGACTCTTGAGATCGTTGATTTGCACTCGAACCCAAAATTTCCAACCCGAAATATTGCATAAATTTTATACATTAAAACATTCGTTAATAAAAAAAACTAACAATTTATTTGTGCAAATTATCATTGTCGACAGATGACGATAATTTAAATTAAATTCTTCCTAGAATTTTTTTTGCATTAAAGTTTTTTTTTTCTCATATTTAATATATTAATAGAAGCTTGGAATTATTAAAAATCAACAACTCTTATTATGTTACAGTCATTGCGAATGTTCGGATGCTCATTCCACAGTGCCCTTCGGCCCGGCTCGTGATTCCACATTTGTTAAGTACACGGGAAAATGGTAGTAGACTATGATCACAAAAACCAATATGTTAATTAATATGATGCCATCACATGTAGATATATATATATTTATAAAAATTATCGATCTATACACAGATGCAAAGAAGCAACTATAATAAGTTTTATTTGACAACAGATTTATGATGCATTCTAGTTTTTATATATATAAAAAAGAAAACGATTGTAATAAAAATGTATGCAAAAAGTTAAGAAAAACTAAAGTTAAGAAATGGTGCTTTTGTTGTTGTGGTACCTTCTTGTGGCGTTCCTAACCGTAATTTCTCGTAGCACTTAAGCTTTCCGTTGGCGAGGAAGACATTGCAACTCTACACTTTCCTTCTTTATTCCTTTTTTTCTGTTCTGGGAATTGCCATTCTGAACAGCGGCTGTACCAGAGGCCATCCAAGATAAATCACATGTCCTATGAAATACACGGAGGCGTACGCCTTCCACCATCTCTCCACGGAGAGAAGTACGAAAGGTACGACGCAGTATCCGAACATCACCGTGACGTATACCTTGTTGAAAACGAGCAAGAGAATCTTCAAGGCACTATTATTCACAATGGCCTTAGACGTGGAGTTTTCGTTAATCATTTTTATCACGTCGCGTTCCATCTTCATAACAATGAATTCGTTCAGGAAACACACGTAGTATCCAGAATGCAGACCGTGCCACACAGCCAAAAACAACAACGTTAAAAACTGAGACAGTAACTTGTTCCCCAGAAATTTCAGTCTCTTGAACACGTACTGTGCGGCCCACAAGTTGGTGTTGATGTTGAAGGACTTTATGATACCATCGAATGTGGTGGTGGTCTCGTAGCCCCACAGGTCCACGTTGGCGCAGCCGTCCCATCGGTCCCTCCCGTCGTTGTCGACACCGGCATAGGTGAGCCCGGAGAGGATGGCGCTCCCCTCGGATATCAGCCAGCAGGCCACATACTTGTTCAGGCATATCTGTCCCCACACTCCCACGCCCAGGAGCCTCTTCCAAAAGGGCATGCTCTCGTAGTACTCCGAGAGCAGGAACTTCTCAGGAACGTACAGGCTGCCCACCTGGTAGACACTCAGCACAGCCATGCCGAGACCCAGGCGGCGAAGGGCGGCCCGGACACAGCTGGGGTTTCCGTTCAAGATCTTCTCGTCGAACTTCCCCTCCACGAAATCCAGATACCGCCTCATGGAAAACTGCGGCCCGACCAGAAAACCCCCGAAGAAGTAGGTGAAGCCAGATATCTGGAGGACGGAGGGCCGGCACCGCAAAGCAGTCTTCTTCTGGTCCGGCGGCAGTTTATCCGGGTCCTTGCTGCCGTCGAACACATCGAAAGCCAGGCCAATGAGTCTGAGGGTGAGAACGCAGTGGGGCAAACTCCACTTGATGTCGTAATCGCTAGTAGCGGTGCAATAATATCCGATCAACAGATAAGCCATGAGGAAAACAAAGGAGAAAATAACGGAGTGGAGAGTCCCCCCAGCAAACAGCAGGACCAGGTAAATGACTAAAACACAGACCAGAGAATGGGTCACGTCCCATCCGTAGTTGAAGTAACCCAGAGAAACTCCGCAGAATGTGAAGTAAACGTGCTGCATCGACGGACTTAAATTGATGACGTAGCATCGGTGTACAAAAGCCAAAGGGAATCCCAGGAGGATGGAGAAGAGCAAACGAAGCGCGGGTTCGCTCGTCCCCAACCATTCCGCAAAATAGTTCAACATCTTACAACCGAACGATACCTTCTCTCACTTCCCGATACAATATGGCGACGGCCGTCGATTACACTTTCAGACGATAGAGGGCGGAATTTCGATTCTTTTTTTTTCTTTTTAAGTATTTCTTCCTTATTTCAGCTCCATTAGCATTCTCGAAACATTACGGAAATTTTAAAGAAATTTCGTAATCGTTATTAACGCAATGTAAACTCTCTAACGATAAACGGAAGCGCCACACGGCGGCCATTTCCGTTTGACCGATCGATTTGTTTACGAATCATCGACATCTTTATTTGTTCCAAACGATAATAATGAAAATATTAAGAATACATAATTTTCGAGAAACTGTAAATTATCATGGCACGAATATTTAATATAATATAAATTTTCACTGACAATTCTCCACGGCGATTCGCTCTCCATTCGGAATTTTTTTTGACGTCATCGACGTTTACCATTGTGTATTATAATTTTTTCGGCCTCCCAGTGGATACAACTATTTTTTTTTAACGAAAAAAATTTCGGCTTTTCCCGCCCCCTTAGGCACCAAGACGGCCTTTTACGGTATTCGACCAGGCCCACGGCGGTGAGGCTCCCGATAACTGGGACGCTCACGAAAAATTTATATAAATTTTACGTGTAATATAATACAAACAGGTCGAATTATTTCTATTGTTTTACGTCATCGAAGCTTTAAAGCAGCTGCAAACTTTTTGGACAGGTGTTGAAACAGCTACATCTGTACACTGCAAATGTTCTGTACGCCTACGCTTCTTACTTATGGGCCTATTCATAAAAGGCCTCAAACCTGCGATAGGTCACGGAAAAGGCCCTCTAATGGGCCTGTCGATCTCAGTGTCAAAAGTAAAAATAAAAACACCTCGCCCTTCGAGAGTTTAGGTATTTATAACAGCTCATGGAGTGTTTGGCAAGGCCACAATGGGGGAGGATCAGATATATTTTGGGTACGGACTCTAGCGAGCGCGTGAAATTATGAAAATGAACAGTCCGAGTCTAAAAAGCGATTACGTCACTTTGTTGTAATAATGATAAACTAAAACCAAAAGTTCCATTCTCAGTGGTAAAGCCCGGCATAGTGCGAGTAATCGCGATAACCAATTATTGCGTCCCTGAAGACGAACGACGTCACAGAAGTCAATTTAATCCGGAAAAGACGTAAAGATACGGAAGCTTTATCCGAAAGTAATTCCAAATTTGCCGAAACGGACGATTAAGGTTAATTTCCTCTTAGTGGATATTAAAGTGTATTATGGTAAAGGCCCGTTTCTATTTATAAAAAGGGAGGCGAAGGGCCTTTCTTCATATAATTCCCTTCGTGTTCGAAGGCATCCATCTACACGAACGCAGTCCCGTGTGACGTATTCCATCGATCGCCGATGATGCATTACTTTTACACTAAACAAAATGGCGGAGATTAGTGTTTTCCCCGCCTCGATCCACGCGCGATCGCATTAACCAATTGACGAACCAATCTAGTGTATGACGTATTTACAGCAATACCACGCGGTGCTTACTTCTTCCAGTTTGGAGTGAAATGTGGTAAATTTCGTCGGTGTTGCACCACAATACCAACGAAATTTACATTTCTACGAATTACACGCTAAATTTACGTCAGATAGGTCCCCGCAACCACCATTCAAAGGTCCATAATACCATAATAGCGAAGTCCGAAAGCAACGTAAATACACACAGTCGAACCTCAATATAGCGCCAACGAACGGTCTCCCTCGCGACCGTTAAACAGCACCACCTTCCGAATTATAAAACGTAGTGTTTTGCTTAAAAAGAGCACGCTCGCCGCCGAACCGCGCGATTTCCAAACTCGGCGCGCGGGCATCTCCGATTTAGCGCCGGTTCCGGCGGCGCTATATCGAGGTCTGGCGGAATTCGCGCTTGTGGAGTAAGGAAAAACGACTCTAACATATCACAAATTTTTATTAAAATATACAAAATGAAAAAATCTGCTTTACAATAATGAAGAATGATTCGATAATTTATACAGATATATATAATATATATATAATTTATTTTTTATTTTATTTATATATATTTAGGGTCGACTGCATATTTATAATAATTATTATTATTGTTATTATTTATTATTATATTTTCGAAACTAATCGGAAAAATATTTGTGTGGATCTAATATTTGGTTTTTTTTTACACAAAAAATAAATATTTCCTAGTCTAATTATCCTACAATTAATATTGTACATGCGTCGTATCCGGGGAGCCTCCCGTCCGTGGCCGTGTCGTCCCGCTTCCTCTGGCCTCGGCTTTTAAGTAGTCCTTCGTCGGTCCGTCCGTCCGTCCTCGTCGGGTCCCGGCGAGTTCTCTCCGGTTCGGCCCCTTGCGGGCCGTCCCCGATGGCGGAAGTACCAGGTGGCGCTCCTCTCCACTTACCCCTCCACTGTAGGCTGGTCGTAGTGAGACTCTCCCTCCTCGGGCTCTGTGTGTCGCGGGCTGGGAGGATAGCTGGGGTTGGAGCTGGTGTTGGAATGGTGCGGACTAGATTGTTCCCCGTGGTCCTGTGAACCCGGTAGCACGGTTAGACCCCAGTGGAAACTTTTCCTTCGCCCTCTTTCCCGCTTACCTTGTGATAGGAGTGCGCCGTTCCGAAACCTGTCCCGATGTTGGGAGTGGAATGTTCCTGCGAAGAGACAGAGCCGTCGGGCGACACCACCATCGACGACGACGATCGCTGTCCCCTCTGACTTCCTCCCGTCGCGTGTTTAGATGCGGGGGTGCCTAGTATACCACATGTTCCCAATGTTTTTTTTATACTTTTCTCATTACGTGAGGACAATCCACAGTAAAAGCCTATAGAATCTCTCCAAAGCTTTGCAGACCTTCGAAGTGATGAAATAAGGCAATGTGTGGGCAACACGAAAGGGAGTGCCCCTAAAATACCTTCCTTCGACACTCAAATGGAGCCAGTTTCCCAACTGGCTCCATTTGAGTGTCAAAGGAACTATAGAAAACTTTGTCCAGCAGCTTGCCGGTATGGTGCAAACCCACAATTGATCACCGGTGTTTGGTTTCTTTACTGAGGAGGAGTGGACAATAGTTTTTAATGTAAGCTTATTAGTGTACTTGCCAGAAACAATGGAGAAAATTGAATAAAACGGAGAAGAGACGGAGGCATTTACTTTGGATTGCACCAAACAGAAAATATAACAATGGGTAATACTAATGTCATACTTACACTGGATGATGTTCTTATTTCCCATCGATTTTTCTTCGTGAATCATGGTGTTCTGTTTCACCTGAAATCATAATTGTTGGCTTTGAAGTACTTTTATATTACATATTTAGTTCAATAAGTATGGGTACTTAAAAAGATTCTACTTAATAATTAATTAAATTTAAATATCTGGAAACACAGAAAAATCAACAAAAAATACACTTTATACACTTGTAAAGTATGGTGTCTTCTAATTTCACAATAGAAAGACTATTAGAAAGATGTGGCTGTGAGCCCAGTGTTCAATCTGTTTCCATTTGTATATTAACTTTTGTAAAGTTACCCACAGAAATAAACATCGGATTTAGTGTGAAGGCTCATTGTCGAGTGTTTCTTCAGTTTGTATCCTTGCTATATGTTCATAATAGAGAATTTATACTGTCCTCAGAAGTGATAACCCGTAAAGTGAGTGATGGGAAAGTGAGGGTCTACTATAAGGCAAATTTAAATATAATGAAACTAATTAATAATGTATTTTGTACATAGTAATATGTAAGAAATATTTAAATTGTTAATGCAACATAATAAAACATCTGTAATTCTCCAAATTTATGAATTATTTTGGAGAAAATAATTTGAGCATGCTTAACAATAATCCACTAATTAAAATTTACAACTGATTAAATATTAGTTTTTTTTCATTAATGTGTTGAGCGATCAAAAAGTAACTTCACAAAACCAACAATACAGACAAATACTTGCAGGTAAGCATGCACTTGGGCAGGCAGAGTAAATGAAGAAAAACTCTGCTTGCATTGTAAGTTATAGATAGACGTGTGCACCCTAGGCAAGTAGACAGACGAAAAGGCAGAGTTGCAAGAAAGGAAATCTGTCTTGCATTTTCAAGGATACGACATTTACACCCAACTGCTTTGAATCAGTGCAGTGCTCTGCTGTCAAAACCTCCCAATGGCACTTGGCAGAAATCTCTCCTTTGAGAGGATGCATTGTTTGTGCCCATTTCAAAAATGGCAACAGTATATATGTTCTTTTAAATGCAGGAAAATGTAAAAGAGAGCTGTAAGAAAGGATGACAAACCTCGCATCAAAACACCTGTAGCAAATCCATATTCTGGTGCCACATTCAGTCCAATGCCATGGAGGAATGTAATACCCCAACTAAATAATCTGGGACATTCTCTCCCAATGGTGTCTTTTGAGCACGTTAGCAAGTAAACCTTTCTGGACCCATAAATCAAATAACCATTTGTTATAATCAACATGTCATTTGGAAATTCTACATCACAACTTTCTGCACTTGCATGTCATTTGAACCCATTTGTGTTGCCAATTTTGGTTGGTACTACACCAAACCAAAATTGTTACACTTGACGGTGCTTCAGATTTTGTAAATTTACTTTTTGATCACTCTATGTATTTATCTACTTACTGCTTGTATGTCCATTAATTTATGTAGTTGGATTCCTTCTCCTGGTCCCATGTGAGATATGTGGTTGAAATTTGTTGGCCCAGAAATCATTCGAGAGAGTCTCTCACTGCTTAAACAAAAAATTCCAAACAATGAAAACATGATTCGATTGTTCACTTATTTAAATAAAGTTAAATTATTAACGTACACTCTTCCCGATTTCTCTAATTCCCTGACTGAAAATCGTCTTCTGACGCGCGTAAGCATCATTTTCCCTGATCTCCCTCTGACTTGCTGAACGACCACCTCCGGTACGTGAACAGTGTTTTCTGAGTGATTTACATTGTGTAAGTAGACGACATGCGGTAGATCAGTGGCAAAAGTGTGGCATAGTTGTCCAGTTCGGCATAGGGGCTTTGCCTACAATAAATACAATACAATTAGGCAAACAACAGGCAAAATAATTTGATTGTTAAACATATAATTTGAACTTAGTTTTTATATATAACTAAAGTACTAGAAAATCATTTGTCTAGCTTTATTATACAAATTACAAATAAATTTAACTAATTAATCAAGTAATAAAATAGATATTTTAATCTGTTAAAATTAACCTTTTTTAAGTTCAATGTCTGAATCCACTCTCCGGACGTGACTTCAAATACGTCTATGTGAGCTTCGGTGTAGATGCACAGATAATTATCGTTATAACCTTTAAAATAGTAATAAATAAAGTTGCATATTACATTTATTATTATAATTTCTTGTCATTTTTCTTTGTATTTTATTCTTATATAGTTACATATTTTTAGCTATTACTTTTGTGCTTATTACACTGTTTTCTTAGGATTCTTGACTTGGCTTTTCTCTCTTTATTTTAAAAGAAATTAAAAATAAAGAGAGAAAAGCCAACTTAAGAATCCTAAGAAAAAACAGTGTAATAAGCCCAAAAGTAAGAGCCAAAAATATGTAGTTATATAAGAATAAAATTGTATACAGTCAAATCTTGGGTTTCAAACTTAATTTGTTCCTAAAAGTTGTTCAAAAACTGNATCTTTCCATCTGTGTTTTTGATAAGAAGTCATATTCACCTCTATTTATACCTAACAATTCACATGACCCTTACTGTAACAAAGTCTCCGCTTTTCGAACTCTAGTAAAAATGGCCTACACCCATTGTTTGGAGCAAAGTGGAAAGGAAAATGAATTGTCTTGGATCAAGGCCTTGGCAATACAACATGGATACCCGTCCTCTTTGGTCAAACATCTCGTAAAACAATATCTAAGTAAGGGGAACAGAACTATTCCACAAGAAGAATGAACGAAAGTTATCACATATAACAAAACACTTTCTAATATATATAGAGAAATCGCCAGGACTACTAAAGTGCACTTGGCATATCGATGCACTCCGGCAATCTTTTCGCTAATCAGAAATGATAAAACAATATATACAACTCACATTCTCCGTCAACTGCTCATTAATATACATTGGAGTGACAGTGAGAGGTCTCACCACGAGGATGAAGGAGCATGAAAATTTTATAAGAAAAATGCTCTCAACTATGGTGTTAGCAACGTATGCAGGTAGTGATGATGTGCAAGCTGAACTGCAGAACATAAAATTGTTATACAGGGTGTCGGATAAAGCATAACTCAAGCACCTGGAGGCAGTTGAGATCTATCGAGCAATTAAATAGGGAGTCGCTATTAATTTCATGGAAACGGACACGCTCTCCACAGCATGGAGCACCATTTTTGAACTAGATTCCGTCAACAAAACACGCATTAATGATAATTTAAATTACATACAATATATGTATTATAATAATTAATGAGAAATTAATTAATTATTTATTCTTTTATCGTTTAAATAATATACATATTTTGAAATTATATCCCGAACATAAATTTTAAATGCAATATATTCAAATTATGTAATCAATTGGAACATTGAAAAAAAGCATTCAATTTTTGTTAGCCATTTTGTTCCATATTGTTTTTACCTGATGGTGTCTTTTATATAGACGAAAACATTAGTAAATTTTTTCTTTTCAAAATAATTTGAGTCTGTTCCTTCGTTCTCTTCGTGGTTTATCTGTGAAAAAACAAAGATTGGCATAACTTCTAAAGTTTCAGACTTAGGGAACACCCTATATAATTATCCAAATTATATGCACAACTGGAAGAGCAAAATTATGGAATAAAACTAGAATGACAGGAAATCTTAATGTTAATTTGATATATTAAAACTGGATATTTTACCGATATATTGGGTACACTCTTGATGTTTAAGCTTGATTCTTGAACACGATGGCTAAGACATGACGTACAAGGGCATGTCGGTAGCCACATTTACAGGAAGTTCACTTAAAAATTCTCTCTTTCTACGCTTAATTTGATGGCACTTTAATTATTTACATTTACATCAGAAAATAGACAGAAAGGATGAAAAATGTAAGTGCACAATAGTAAGTTCATTTAAGATAGTGTGTGTTATTTAATAAATTACATCCTTCTATTAGAATTAAATTATATTAATAAATGATTATTATTATTTACAAAATACCTCAAAGTTTTCCTCGAAGAGCGTGCGAAGAATTGCGGCAACTTTCAGTATTTGTCTTCTACAAATATATCCACAGATTAATAGAATACTCTAGAGTTTCCTCGTTTGAATGTAATCAAACTAAAAATTGAAGATAGCTCTTTCAAAATACAGTTTGGAATGTCTGTCAAATGAAAATAAACCAAATTTAATCATCATTTAAGAACTTAACATTAGAATTAAGAATACAGAATTTGTTTACAACTGGACGAAGTGGAGAAATATCGACCCACCACACCTCTTCGTACATTCTTCCCTCATTGTCTACCTGCCAACCCATAACAGGTTCAAAAACAAAAGCTCTTAGAATTAATTACACCAAATATATACATATATAATTCCATATACAAAAATTATCGTATATCTCAGTGACTGTAAAATGCACTCCGACAATACAACACCCGTCAGAGGAAGGCTAAGTCGGCAACCAACAGGTAAGACAGCGCCTTAAATTCTATAGGATAACTGTCGTAATTATTAATAAATACAATTTTACAAGATAAAAACAAATAATTAAATCAAATAATTTATTATTTAATATTTTACATAAAGCTAATTGCTTTTTTGAGTGACTCTTGAGATCGTTGATTTGCACTCGAACCCAAAATTTCCAACCCGAAATATTGCATAAATTTTATACATTAAAACATTCGTTAATAAAAAAAACTAACAATTTATTTGTGCAAATTATCATTGTCGACAGATGACGATAATTTAAATTAAATTCTTCCTAGAATTTTTTTTGCATTAAAGTTTTTTTTTTCTCATATTTAATATATTAATAGAAGCTTGGAATTATTAAAAATCAACAACTCTTATTATGTTACAGTCATTGCGAATGTTCGGATGCTCATTCCACAGTGCCCTTCGGCCCGGCTCGTGATTCCACATTTGTTAAGTACACGGGAAAATGGTAGTAGACTATGATCACAAAAACCAATATGTTAATTAATATGATGCCATCACATGTAGATATATATATATTTATAAAAATTATCGATCTATACACAGATGCAAAGAAGCAACTATAATAAGTTTTATTTGACAACAGATTTATGATGCATTCTAGTTTTTATATATATAAAAAAGAAAACGATTGTAATAAAAATGTATGCAAAAAGTTAAGAAAAACTAAAGTTAAGAAATGGTGCTTTTGTTGTTGTGGTACCTTCTTGTGGCGTTCCTAACCGTAATTTCTCGTAGCACTTAAGCTTTCCGTTGGCGAGGAAGACATTGCAACTCTACACTTTCCTTCTTTATTCCTTTTTTTCTGTTCTGGGAATTGCCATTCTGAACAGCGGCTGTACCAGAGGCCATCCAAGATAAATCACATGTCCTATGAAATACACGGAGGCGTACGCCTTCCACCATCTCTCCACGGAGAGAAGTACGAAAGGTACGACGCAGTATCCGAACATCACCGTGACGTATACCTTGTTGAAAACGAGCAAGAGAATCTTCAAGGCACTATTATTCACAATGGCCTTAGACGTGGAGTTTTCGTTAATCATTTTTATCACGTCGCGTTCCATCTTCATAACAATGAATTCGTTCAGGAAACACACGTAGTATCCAGAATGCAGACCGTGCCACACAGCCAAAAACAACAACGTTAAAAACTGAGACAGTAACTTGTTCCCCAGAAATTTCAGTCTCTTGAACACGTACTGTGCGGCCCACAANAACATTACCTGAGCATTTTACTTATAAGTAACAACTTATGCAAATGGTAGGCTTTCAAACATAAGTTGCACAGCTTGTGCATTGACTTATGCATCTTCTCTTCCCACTTCACATTTAGTTTGGAAGAACTAGTGGTACATTTTTGCAGGCTGAGCCACTTTGGTAGCCTATCCTAACACAGTGTACTCACATATTCACCTTCTGATGTGGCTTTTTGTTCATTGTGACCACATTCACAGTCTCCTCCATTACAGATGCACATTTGTAGATTGATAACAATATACTCTCTGCACTACTTCACAAGAAGATAAAGCTTTGGCATTTGGAACAACAATTACGTACTTTTAAGTGGTGTTAACCATCAAAAACTTCATGTTTCTTATAAAAGTGCACTGCCTTCAAATCAGTTTTTATACAAATGAATACTACATTCACCAGAAATATTGCTACAGAAGACCATAGGCAAACAAAAAGTGTTTTTGCATTTATAATGTCATCAATGTCAATCCTTATTGGTTTCTTAGAAAGCTGCAACAAAATGACATTTTAATTTAAAAAATACACACAGTTTTATATAGTGTTTATGGATGATACAATTTCTATAACTGCTACCATATATTAAATGATAAAGTTAAAACAATAAGCATTGTTTCTTAATATGAAAGTCAACATAAAATTGATATCAAGTACACACTTCAAGGCCAGGAACACACAAAGATCAAGTGACAAAAATTAGCTTTCATTCCCATTTCAATTTGTTTTTAACCAAGATAACTCATGTAAATTGTTTAAATAAAGTATAAAGATGACAAATTTCTGTTATATCTGTTATATTTTACGTGTGTGCGACAAATTACAAATTTGTTACATAACATGCCAGCTAAATATGTCAAAAGCAATATTCTTTAGCATTGATATTTGTTAATTGTAATGAGTAAAACTTGTGAATTTGGATCAGAGTTTCGAGGTAAGCTCTAATTCCGACAAACCGTGCTACGTTTACTTTTAAAATAATATAATCAGAAATTCAAAAGTACAATCTGTAACAGTGGATTTAATCTCATAAAATGGCAATTCTCAATGTTACTCATCTGCAGGCCGCTTAAACTGAATCATAGACGAACTGTGGACCTCCTATACCCCCATCCATTTTCTTATCCCGTAAATATCACCTTAGATGTGTTCTGTAATATTTTTCTATTCCATAACCCAATGCAAGACATATGCAATGCTTGGAAATGCTCTTTTCTCTGGCTAAACAACACAACTGCATCTTAAAGAAAGGTCTGTGCGCAGACCATTTGGAGCGTATTCATTGACCACATGCCACATTTTGAGAACCTCTGAGGTAAAACCCATTTTAAAAAATTTCAAAAATTCAAAATGGAAGAGTTTATTAACAATGACTTTTATATTCTGTTAAAGATTTTTTTTGTTTAAAAAGTATAAAAATAACAACAATAGAACAATATAACCTAATATCTTTATGTAAATAAGAATATAAAGTAATACATAAGACAAGATGCAACATAACAAAGTTTGTCACATATTACAAAATATACAGAAAATTTATAAGTACCATTCATTCATTATGTACACAAAATTTTAACAGTGAGAAAAATAAACAAGGAACTGTCAGTGTTTAAATTATAAAAGAATAGAAAAGAAATATTTTGTAATGCATTAATTACAGAAATACCGAAAATTATTACAGTTAAACAAAAGATTTTATGCAAACGAATGTTAAATAATCATTACATATTTAAATAACTGAATAATTTATAAGGTCCCGTTAACAATTTCGGCAATTTACCAGAATTTGCCATCAACAGGTTAAACGTATCGCGTTACTATTTCCGATTTGTAGCAACTTACAGGATGTAAATTTTTATATTATATGATGTGATTTTGCATTAACACATTTGTAATTTCTTAACCACAAAGTCAATCTGAGTATCTACTTTTATAAATAAAATTACATCATTTGCAAAGTTGTGCCTCTATCATCATCATAATTTTTTTTATGCCACAGACTTCTTTGGCAGTCGGATAAAGCCTACGGATCCCTTTTCGAAATAAAACTTTTTTAAAAGTGAGATGAATATATACGAGATTTCTTTCGACAACAAAGTTGCGGCTACTGTTAATGCTGCTACCATAATCTGTTGTATGCATTCGTAATTAAAAGAAGTGTGAAATTTCAGATAGAAATTAGTAAAATAAATATGTAATTTCCATATCTAAGTTCATAAAAGTTAAGAAACCCAATTCTAAAGCATTAATAAGTACAAGTATTTAATAATTTGAATAATTTAATAATTTTTCTGATAAAAATTAATGTTTGAAAATTAAAATTATGCTGCATTTTTAAAGGTTTGAATAGTGACATTAAGATAAAAATTCATTATTTTCCCTTAATTTACATTTGTACTATAAATTATTTCAAACAGGTTTTAATAATGTTATTTTTAAGCGACACAAACTTTGAGTGCTCGTAAATTAAAATCATCATAAATGACAGATGTAGCAACACCAAAATAGAAGTACTTGGCATGATATAACTATAAGTAATTCACTTTTGGAGATATAACAATAATCTTGTGCATAGTAAGCTACAAATCTCTCAAAATGCTGATAACTCAGAAGTGATTAATATAATCTACCTCCATTGATGTAACTTTGTCAACGACTAAGACTAAATTCCATTGAAAAAATCCGGCAACAAGCTATATAACTTTCCCAGCTATTATGAGATCTTATTTAGAAAATAACTTTTATAATTTTAATTACAATATAAATTTAATAAAATTGTGTGTGGTGCCATATGTTAGAAGATTATTATAANAATAAAAAAATAATTTTTAACGATACAATAGTCTTCGTTAGGCTTAACATCGACGAAAATTCAACGCAAAGCGACACGCAACGGAGAAAAATTTCAACATGGGATAAATTAATATATTTTTTCGTACATGATTCGTTATCCGAAAAATAAGTTATCCGAACCACCCCAGTTCCCAATTGATTCGGATAAACGACGCTCTACTGTATTTAATAAAATATTCAACCTCAGCTGGACAAATATGTCAAGACAGTAAATTATAGTAGGGTAAATGATAGTTATGTTGACTGTCTACATTATTAATACTGTATTTAATAAAATATTTATAATGGTACATTACAAATTTCTACATATAGATGAGAGACTTACGACTGAAAACTAATAAGAATTCGTCTGAAGGCAACTCTATTGCCAACATGGCTTCCATCGGATTGAGGGCCAAAAACGACAGGGCGCTGCAATCAGGACGAACCAAACCTAAACAAATTTTAAAATTTATCAGGATGTTTCCAAATTGATTTGATTTCTAAACAGACTTTTTGCTTAAAAGAAATACATACACATTGGAGCGCTGTCTTCAGAAAGAGAATACACGTAAAAATTTGCGGGAAATCCAACGCCTAATTTGTCGCCCATTATACACAGACACTGAGCCGGAGCGGGAAGAGTTACTTCTCTTTGACGCTGATGTCTTCCTTTTGTGCGGTTTATGTTAAAAATCAATAGCTTTGAAAAAAATTAAACTTAATTAATATGGACAATATTTAAATCCGTGGTAGATTTATATTTTTTTCGTGTTTAAATTTTATATTAAAAAGAATTATCTAAGATCGACATAAATATTTGACATACGAAGAGCATTCGAACAAAGTCATTATTGCATTACCTGTCTTTTAACAGCAACACAAAACAGATATTTAAAACCAGATGGTTGTTGAAGGCACACAGAACAGAATGTGGTACAACCCTTTGTGTCTGCAACTTTAATCCATTCCACATCATGTCCGTCTAATGCGCTCACCGGGATGAGTCTCAAATACCTGTGTTTCCCTTTAATCGAAAGAAAGATTTTATTTATTTCTTTTGAATTATTTAATGCTACAGAATATTTAACTTGAAAATTACCTGCAATCACAATTAAAAGTTGTTCAATTAAAATATATTCGATCTGAGAGATTTTTTTGGTGTCACCTATCCGTGCTATTTCTAAAAATAAAATGAATTGTTTAATTGTATTAAAAACATATGAAGTTTATTAGTATCAATTAAATTATTTAAAACTGTATTAAACATTCAAAAGATTGTTACTTTCAGCCATTTCTCGTCCATTGTTGAAATCCAAATCTCACTAAATATGTTACCTGATGGATTTGGCACCAAAATTTCTGCACACAGCAATAGTATGTGTTCGTTCTCATTTCAACCCATACAATATCATGTTCCATGCCAAAATAATTCCTTACAAAAAACATCTGTCCATGTGTTCTGGCCCTTAAATTTAGGTCTCAGAGAGAGGGAGTGGTACTACTACTACTACTACTACTACTACTACTACTACTACTGAATAATTACAGATTACTATTGTAAAAATATTAATTACCTTCACGATCTAAATCAATACAATACAATCCTTCTTCTGTTCCTAAAAGTATTCTCTCCTTATCTAAACGATAAATTTTGCAACAGATCAGTTTAACCATGCAGTTGTAATCAATAAAATAAATAATAAAATCTAGATGACTAATACCTATGATGGCACCGGCTAATGAATTTCGAACAATCGCAACTGTGGTATCCAATATTTCTTTTGCTTGAAACACCTTTTAAAAATTAAAATAAAAACTGTAATTTGCGAACTCTTGCATGGGACTGATTCCAAAATTATACGTACCGACTTTGTGGGCAATTTGCTTCTTCTCAAAATACGATGAAGCTCGTTCAGGGCATCCACCCATTTGTTTTTCTCGCTCTCCCTATCCACTAACATAAGCGTGTGATTTTTTATTCCAGGAGGATCCATCATAGAAGTTGTTATCTGTTTGAAAAAAATTTGTTTATTTCTTGGAAGTAATTGTATCAATTTGATTTTGTACTAAAAACTAAGAATATTCTTACTCTAAATATGCAAGGAATATCCTTTTTGTTGGCATGTATGACATCGGATTCAAATACTGAGTTCACTGCAAAATCTTCATCCCTGTTTAAGGTAACATTCATACAATAAGTTTATAAATAAATATTTTATCTTATTTTAAACATTGTAAACATGTTAAAATTCTGGATAAAATTCAAAATTATAATTAATACAAGAATTTATAGTTTAGTTTTGATTTTCATCTTTTGTGACCTATTATCAAGACAATTTAACTGTTTCGATAATAAATTGTAGGATTTTTGCTTGACACATTTGCATACTCCAACTCTGGGACCAGTTTGCCCAAACTACTTTGCGCAATTATAGTTTTATCACTGTATTTCATTAGCAAAACATTCGAAATGCCAAGTACAATTTGCAGAAGGAAATCATCATCACAACCAATGCAATAGCCGCTTCAATTTTATAGCAAACAATATTAAAAACAATATTACTTTTTAATAATATACCTCATATCAAGTACTTGGGAAACACAGACATAAGGCTGTGCATTTTTATCTTGGGCTAAGTCATACAGAAACAACTTAAAATCGCACACCACAACAAACTGACGCATCCAACCTTTCTTAACGCCGCCGGGTTTAGGTACCTAAAATCAAAATAAATTTCAATGACTAAATAATTAAACTTTTATTTTTCTTATTATCTTATTAAATTATACTTCAGAATAAGTAAATTAATAATTATTATACAGCTAATATTTGCACAATTTAGACTTTAACAATCGTATCTTCTATCTATACAATTTTAAATGTGTTAAAAACAGAGAAAGGCAGTAGTTAGCTATAGATATAATTAAACTACATATTTAATATAATTAGGAGTGTAGCTGTAAATTAAGTACCAAGATGTTCCTGAGTTTAAATTGACACTGTCTACAGATGTGTTGCCATTATGGAGTTTTGTCAGCAAAGCACAACTTTTTGACACAATACTTGCAAAGTGGCTCAAATGTATCCAAAATGATCTATATGTTCATAATCAGTCAAAAAACTGTTTGTGCAAGTAATTTTCTCAGTTTTGTTTTGGCTGAGATACATAGTCTAAAGTCCAATCCATGTGTTCACAAAGAGTTCACCCTGCTTAAAAAAGTACCAGGTACACCCAGGCATGACTATAGCACTGATAATTATATTCTCAACACAGTTAACTACTGCTTATCTCTAAAGAAAATTATATATTTTCCTCTTACAGATTAAAAGCAAAATTTTAATTCTTTCAAGAACAAGGATGGTCAAACAATAAGCTATATGACATATGATATTTGTAATAATGTGTTCAAATTTTGTCAATTTTAATTAACATTTTAACCATAGAATTTACAGCAGTCCTCAGTTAACACAGTTCTTTAATTACCAACAATTTTCACTTCTATTCGGTCATTACTTTGTCCCATATGGAAAGTTTGCTAAACAATGCTTTCCATATGGCACCTTTGAATAGCACTCTACCATCTACCTAAATACACTTTGACTGAACTATTAAATTTAAGATGGATTCAAATCCATCGTTTGGAATATGAGAAACAATGCAATTAAGTTATGTTAAGATTTTTTAAAACCTAACAAAGTCAGGTAGAAGAGTTTATTAAACCTTTTCTTAAAGACTACTGATAATGAATATAACTTTCAACAATCAGGGCCATTTTAAGCACCGTCAAGTCCAATTTCTTTGGACAGGTTAATCAAATACAGAACAAAAATATTAGTAATAAGGCCATCGAGACGGCAAGGCCCCTCAGCTGTGGCCAAGTATAACCACGTGTTAATGCAGTCCTGGCAGTCATCAATGTAAACAAACAAATATTTCATTACAAAGAATTCCATCCGATTTTATAATAAAAGCTAAATTAGAATTTGTTTCTTATATTATTATTATTTGGCTCAATTTACAAAAATGTTATATTATAATTTGTTGATTTTACATTAGCTTAACTGTTATGTTGACTATAGTTTATAAATAAAAATCATTCTGTAAGTGCTCATTTTTCAATTAAAAGTGACAAAAGAAAAAAAAATGTGAAAGTACCAGTAACTTATTCAATTGTATAAACTTACTTTTACATAGCCTTCGTAGGCCGTTCCGATTCCTCTAGTTGGATCAATTCCAACCGGTCTTTTAGCTAATAAAATAATACATAGTTTAACATTACTTAACGATATCTCTTCAAAACTACATTCTAATTTTTTAATAAACATTAGTTCTTAAAAACAAATGACTAACATACACAATAAACAATAAAAAACAGCAACTATTGTATATCAATTCCAATAAAATATTTTGTATATATTAATTTCAATGCTCATAACGAGACACAAGTCATGTTTGGTTGGAGACTAGTACATCTTAGCATTCGCTAAACCGTTAATGTCGGCAATCCAAAAACTGCTATGTCTTTGTGTCGGCTCCGTCTCGAGAGAACAGTTTGCCTGGATAAGCACTAACTTTCGATTTAGGGTGGTTAGGATCCAAATGCAACTATATTTAACACAGAAGTCTCTATAGTCCATCACTTTCTAGTCCAACATCTCCGGTAATCCGACACTCTGCCTCAGGATGACGTAAGTGAAAGTTTCGAGTTACCATTTGATGTATGCAACAGAGAGACTGATGTATAGTTATTGTAAACACAGTTAACAAAACAGTCATAATCATGATTAATTAATATGATAAACTAACCCATAAACCATGCTTTTTTTTTCACCATATGATACGTACATATATAGAAAAAAAAATCCAGTAATCAGACACCTGCCAGTCCAATACGTCAGATTATAGAGACTATTGTGAGAGCCCGGAAGAAAATTTTGAGGAAAAAAATTTTTGTCTTTCGAAAGTTAAATTGATTTAAATCCCAGCAAAAAACTTTCAGTTTAATTACAGAGGATGATCACATCTTTCACCCCGGAGTCACTTCCTTTTCCAGGTGATACATCAAATGTCTCACTGGGAATGAACTACAAATATTCACTATTGGTCAAAAATAGTAACATGGCTTAAAGAGGGTGTCAAAATCATAGGGAGGACTCCCGAAATAAAAGGGTAGAATCGAGGACAAGAGAGTTGTCAGGACCCAAGAGTTCGCCAATCCACCTCCTTTTCAAGTGAGAGTAGTTTAACCGTGCTCCATCGCAATCCCTTTAATTGCCATTTGCCACAGACTCCTTAGCAACGAACATTTGATAATGAATTGTATCATCTAGGAGCCTAACTCTACCCAACCAAGGTATCGAGGTATTTAGCATCCCACGTGAAAATGTAAGCCTTATCCTATATGTATACATACATACATAAGATTTGTTTTTATTAATATATGTAATTTTATATATTTATATATACCAAGGGGCAAAAACAGGTTGGCTGAGTGCCCCAGTGGGTCACGGGTAATTAGCAGTCTCCCTGTCAGCACAACAAGTTACAAGTACGGTCATATTACATCCTGGTAAAAATCAGAGCTAAAATCGTGTGTTATTTGAAATTTGGAACATTAACAAACATTCTAGAAATCAATTAAATGGCATAATTTAAAAATTAACATTAAATTCTGGAAAATCAATTAGTAAACTCACTTTGATCTGCAGGCACTGGACACATAGCAGGAACTTTAGCTTGACAGGTAATATGACAGGCAAAGCCACAAACTAAAATAAAATGTTTTTTCATTTATAAATAATCCAATTTTATTAAGTTTCTGTGGATGATCCCACATCTAAGAATGTAGATGGAAGATGCAATCTTGCAATTTCTTCCGTCAACATTCATCGATAGCATCTCTGTACATGGATATCATTAAGGCACAAAGATGCTTTTTAAGAATATTGTTTGTGGGGTGGACATACATTAACAAATTTTTAAAAATCCATTAAGAGTCTTAAATTATTTATTCTGATCAAAAATATTTAGAAAAATTCCTTCCTTTAATTTTTCAGTGATTGTAATATATCAGGAACTTCTATAAGCTTGGTACTGGTAAGTTTTGGGGAGAAAATACAGCTACTACTGTATAAGGAAACAAACAGTTTAATTAAAGAAGAAACATTTTCAAATCTTTCTTTGGACTGAATTACATGACCTATTTGCATTTGTGCTTAGATTGCAGTGGAAGTCTGGCTCCACCAGCAGTAGAACAGGACTTCTTGTCACAGATACAAGGATATTTTTTGATGTTTTCAATAATTCTTCCAAGGTCTATTCCAGGTCTTTTTGCAGAAGTAGCCATTCTAACGTTAAAACTAATAAAAAAAACTTTACAAGTGTCAAAATGGCAAGATCAAGAGATAGAATAGAGTGAATGGCATAAAAGCTTGCTTTCTGCAATTTTTGCATGGCGTCACGAAGATGTAAAGTCCACCAACTTCCAATTGGTTGACTGTATCATTTTATGGATGTATTTGTGTTGAAAGTTGAATGCTACTCAACTTTCTTTATGCTTGTTTTACACCTTGCTCTGGCATAAAATACCACAGTCACACGATTAAAAATAATTACGCTTGTTTTTACACTAGTGGAGTTTTGATCTAACAGAAGGTATATGAAATTTAAATTATAACAAATAAGGACTTCACACACTTCTGAAAAACTGTACATATCTTATATTCGTTTCAAATTATAAAGCGAGACAAAATCTGTCCAGATAAAAGATACAAAAACATTTCTCATTGAACCAAACTGTCGGGTTTCTTAAAATAATTGCATTTTCTTCTCAAAAGTTATGTGATACATTAAAGAGACTGATACAACCATTACCTTATTAATTTGGGATATCAACTTTTTCAATTTTTATCTAAAGAACCACTTGGTTTTAATATTGTTACACGTTAAATGAAGTTGCAATAACAGAACTGATACAACAATTCTTTTTTAAATTTCCAAATAGAGTTCTGTTAATATTCAATCTCAGATATATTTATTATACTCGTAAATATAATTGTACTATACAGCAAATGTAGTACAGTCCTTACACACCCATATGGTGAATGCAGATAGCTACAGTTACAAATGTGTCACATAGTTAAAGTAATTTTCAAGATAGAAGCATTAACTTCAAAATTTTTGCTAGGGCACTGCAAGAGGCCTCCTCTTGTAGCGCATAGTCATTTTACTATACCTACACATCACATTTGTAACCACAGCTATCTACATTCATCAGTTAAGTGTGTGCATAAGGACCTTATCTATGAACAGATAATCAGTTTATGTACAATTCTTTATTTAATTCATTTATCGATAGCTGTTTGATTGGCATTATTAAAGGTAAACAACTAAATTATATACCAAATATGACAATTTTGGGTGTTATTAAACAAATTATACTAACTTTATGACTGTAAATGATCTTAATGACACTGATACTACAGGTAACTTCAAAAAAGTTAACAGTTATATAGAGATAGCATATGATCACTGCAATAAGGGTAGTAGGGCCAAACTTTTTTGAAGATACTGTAATTGGGTACTGACTTCTTGCACATGACACATAAATACAAAGAAGTCAAATTACCACTACAAATTGGGGCATAACGAGCCACTTCTATATTAGTGTTAACATTTTTATGAAGTGCCCTATATAATAAAAGCAAAAGCAAATTGATTTCTCTGCACGAGTTATCTATTTATTATACATATAAACAGAATCTCTGCTTGAATATTAATTATAAAAATTTATTACAGATAAAAGATAGTAAAATTTCTGTATTTGTAAGTAGCTACAGACACAAAAAATGATCACGGGTGCAGTTCTATATCTTCGCTAGCTATAACAATTTTTATTGAGGCAGTAAATGTGCCAGCCTATAGAACATTATGCCTACTACTCATATAGGCTATTACGTAACATATTAATAAATATTATGTATCTAAATATAAACTTATGGGATCTCTGTCCTTGTTAAGTGGTGCATACCCGCGTTAAGTTATACTCGTGAAGAATTTGCAGAAAGTAAATCTCGTAAATACAGAAGTTTTACTACATAAGTGCCATTCTTACAGAATTAAAGCAAAATATTTTGCTTACCTTCACAGACAGAACCTTGCCTAATTAATCCGACCATTAACGAGGTGCAGTGGTTGCATTTTAGAGGTGCTACAAATGTTCGAATCAGGAACTGATGAGCTTTTGGCTAAGAAGACGATTTTTTTGAATATTTGACTATTTCTAAATACTTTAGAAATGTATAATGAGGGGGTGGCATTAAAATGAAATATTAAAGGATTAATTAGCATTTACTTTTCAATTTTAATCTTGTCATTATGCAAATATTGCCAATTTCGAGTGTTGAATTCTCTCTCTCTCTCTCTCTCGACCGTTACTCCCGGACGTTTTTAGTAAAATATTGATAAAAATTATATTTAATTTTCATGCAGAACAATCTACTAATTAGAATAATTCCTAAATATTACAGTATTAATGCCACATGATTTTAAAAAAATTAAATACTTTTGCATTATCTAAATACAAATAAAGAAAGTTGTTAGTTACTATAGATTACCTTTGGTGAAGATATTAGTGTAAATTGTGGTTTTGAGTCGTTAAGAGGAGATACAGAAGTCGAAGCAAATATACGATCCTAAAACAAAAGTTAATGTTAGTCGGATTATAGAAAATATTCGAGGATTTGAAATTGAAGGTTATGATTGTAAATACGGACTTTTTGAAGCTCAAGAATGATTTTTATAGACCAAAGATATTATAAGAAATTCAAGAAGTTTAGAATAAACTTTAAATTAAGGAGAGTGCAAAAGTTTTTTAAACACGAACAGAGATCAAAAAGTAACACACAGGAATTTTACACATCTTAGCCTTTCTTTCGACATAAGAACAGTGTCCCTTGACCTCGTTTGGCCTGTCTTGGCACCCATTTCACTATGTTCCATTCATAAAATTCCATTTTCTAAGCATATAGTCAATTGCACAAGACTGATTTCATTTCATCATCTGGTTTTGAAGAGTTGCCTGGAAAGTTTTCATGACATCAAATGGCCAAAACTCTGAAGAGACTGGGTCCGAATACAGGATGGATGCTGGAGCATATCCCAGGACGTTTGGCACAAACCTTGGCCATGACACACAGACAAGCATCATAAAAGTAGTCTGACAATCATAGCATATACATCGGGGTATCTGTCACAAAGAAATAACGCAACTTTGTCAAAATGTTAGCATAGGTTGGAAGAAAGACTGCCAGGAGAACACTGTATGCATCCCAGAACACCATCACTAGAATCTTTTTTACAGGTTGGATGACTCCAAACTTCTTTGGTGGTAGAGACAGAGTACTTCTAACTGCAAGACAACAACATTGTTCATATTTCATATTTAGCCTCGCTATTAAATTATTTGCAAAAAGAATTCTTGTGTGTTACTTTGATCTCTCCTCACATATCAAGAAAAATTTTAATTCAATACCTTTTGATATATTTTATTAACGTGTTAAAAGAATTAAAAATAATACTAAAACTAATGAATGTAATCATTCTTTTTGCTAGAAACTAAATCTATTAGGAATGTTTTGCATCATAACTTTCACTTTTTCTATTACATTATTGCAAAAATTTATATATAAATGGTAGTGGCCATAGAAATTGCATCACCTATGATATAAGGATATATCAAAATCAGTTTAAACAGATGTAGAAAACAGCATATTTAAGCTATGATAACATATAAAGTATAGAGAAGCCAAGAAAAACAAACAAAATGCAATTTATTACAAATAACACTATGCTGAACTAAGTGTTATTTCATGCAACAACCAGACTGTTAACGAGTGGCTGTTGCAAGAACTTTCCATTCACCTATACAGAAGCAAAAAGGGAAAGTTTTGTGGCATAACAGCATAAGTTAGTTTGAAAAACACAATATAAAGAGATATTTCTCATTGAATGAGATTCTGATATTTTATGTGGTTGTCTTGAGCTTTAATGCTTTGCAGCAATCCAACATACAACCGATGAGCTTCTTCCAAGTATACAAAGCTTATGATACAAAACTCTTCTAATATACTCCTGCAGTTGGTTTATTTTTGGGCCTCTTCTTTGAAATTTCTGTGCCCATAATGTGATAGAACTTCTCAATAAGGTCGAGATCGGGACTGCTGGATGTCTGATCTAGGCCTCTTGTATGAATTTTTTCAACTAATTGACAATTTGCATTAGGTTATGAGACAGTAATGCTAACAAACTGTACAGAAAAGGCATGCTATACTTTACTTGCCATCTTGATGTGGTGATGTGGTGCAGAGTTGTCCCAAAAGATGCAGGTTGTGCGTCACAAAACCGTTCCTTGATTGTAAGAATTAACTTGGCAATACCATTTGACTCACTGAAAACTTTACTGTTTACATCAAGCAATCCCTGTTACAGACCTCACCTTTTCTACATTAACATGGGGCTTATCGTCGGATCTGTGAAGGTTAAATTTGAATTTATCCAAAAACACAATAGAATCTACAAGTCAACATCTTTGGTTTATATGCTATTTAGCTCAGATAGAACATTACCTGAGGATTTTACTTATAAGTAACAACTTATGCAAATGGTAGGCTTTCAAACATAAGTTGCACAGCTTGTGCATTGACTTATGCATCTTCTCTTCCCACTTCACATTTAGTTTGGAAGAACTAGTGGTACATTTTTGCAGGCTGAGCCACTTTGGTAGCCTATCCTAACACAGTGTACTCACATATTCACCTTCTGATGTGGCTTTTTGTTCATTGTGACCACATTCACAGTCTCCTCCATTACAGATGCACATTTGTAGATTGATAACAATATACTCTCTGCACTACTTCACAAGAAGATAAAGCTTTGGCATTTGGAACAACAATTACGTACTTTTAAGTGGTGTTAACCATCAAAAACTTCATGTTTCTTATAAAAGTGCACTGCNCTCTAATTTTATACATTTCTTGTGAAAGAAACATTTCTTATTCAATGGCCATAAAAATTATTTCTATTAATGATGTCTCCAAAGTTCAATGAATTTTTTGCAGAAAAATAATGTCAGAAATCGTGGCCGCCGTTCGGTGTGCTGCTCCGCAACGAACACAAGCTTAAGCAATGGCGACGTCGAACGGTGCACACTCGGTAAGTAATCCTACAATTTTTTGTTTATAGCATAGTTTATACGGATTATTCCCAAAAAATTATATGTATTTTGAAAATGTTAAGTCGAATTAGTCTAGAATCAATTAATTTTATGGAATAAAACCTTTCAAACAGCTGTAGTCCGTAAACTTCACACATGTCGGGCTGCGATTGGCTCATGCATTTAAGGATTCCCACAACGCGAAATTCATATAACGAGGAACATATCTACGCATTATAGGGGGGTCTACTGTATGGTGATCAAAATTTTGTTTGTAAACCAAATTGCTCGAAACCTGAGGTTTGACCATGTTACAATTTTATTAAACGAATTTTTATCAAATTTAAAATGTACTTGAGTTATGTCTTCTACAAGGTGTACCAAAAGTTTCCTTACTCGATCTTTCAAATTGTTTTATTAATAAAACACGACTTGTGTATTGGTACAAAATGTGTATGAACCATTAGCCGTACCAGTAGATGTCGGAAGTGGCTACCATTCATCTGGAGCAGATATCCACTCGACAACATAATTACATTCTTATTCACACATCATAACATTGTGATATCTATTATGCTTGAAGAAATGTGAATTTTGGATCATCCAAACTGCGGCAATTATTTACATAAACTATCTTTCAGATACTACCATAAAAAGAAATCTGGCATAGTTAAGGACTTGTGGCCACCACCTTCTTGGGGAAGGAGGTGGCCACAAGTCTTTAGAAATGATGCAGTGATGAAAAAAACTCATCAAGATTTTATGAAACCTTTCAACTAGTTTTTATAAAGTAAGCTTACACCACAGGAAATTTTTTTTGAAATCTTTATGCATCGCTAGCAAGATTTTCTGACGCAAAAGCCTTCCAAAAGTGAAATTTTTTGTTTCGGATTGAGCATCATCTTGACGTAGCCATGCTTTCCGATTGACAATGCAAGATTACTCAACCCATATGGATCTGCTCAAAATTACTTTCAGGATCATCACAAACCTAAAGCAGTAGATATCTCTTTTGTCACTTTTTTAACATGTAAAAAAAATAATTTTCAAAACATGAGTAAGGAAACTTGGTACACCTTGTATAATGTATATTTGTGAATAAAAAATTTTCTTTAGTTAATGCTTTTTTGTTTTGACAAAAAAATCTTAATTAAAAAAATGAGAATAATTAGCTTCTGTAGTAAAATTAAACAAACTTTTCATAATAAAATAAAACAAAACACATTTAATTATTAACTTACTAATTGCTGTTGGAAAGGCCGAAAACATAAGTTCGTTCTCGCGCGACTTCTTTCCTTGTTTATCTACGTAAACTCCCAATTCTGCATATAATNTATGTTAGAAGATTATTATAAAAAAAATTGTTTTTTTTTTTTTAAATAAATATTTTAAACTACTATAAAATGGCAAAAGGCTTAATTTTGAGAGTAGGGATGAGTTTTATAAAAAAGTATAAATGTTAACGAGTACAATCATCATTAAGTCCAACCCTACTGGAGATAAACATGACCGCCTTTATCTCCCAACCCCCACAACCTTTAATCACCAAAATTTAACAACATTGATGCCCCTCATATACAAATCACAGTGCCAAATTTCGTTCCTTAATCTTTACCCCATCCTAAGATATTAGTAAAAATAATGCCAACACACACAATTTTTTGCCTTTTTTTCTACTTCCTTGGATTTGGGTCTTAAAACGTGGAGATTTGCAAAAAACTTGGAGGCTCAAATTTGACATGATTCCAATACTTTCCCTTGTTACATACACATAACAGCCAGGAAAGTAAAACTGCAATCTAATTGAAATCACACTACCTTATAGCATAATTAGTGAAGATATACATCTTTTGCAGAATAAAATACTTATTTACAGATATAAAAAGTAAAGAAATTCTTTAAACTGTACTATAAAGACACACTGGAAAGAGATATATGACCCTCGTATTTATGATCCAATACGGAACTGAACCCAAGTTGACATTTAATGCCAAGTACCCATCCATCAGATAGGAGAAGGCTTGGACCTCAAATGAGCAGAAACTGACCACCACATAAATTTGATTCAGAATCAAATCTGAATATTCTGATACCACAGATCATCAAGGGTCCAAAAATCCTAGTAGTATATGTCAATTTTTATAATATAGCCTACTTTTCATTTTTGACTCTCCACCCTTCGATACTAAGATGATCTTTTAATGGATTTGGTTGATTCCTGCAATGAAGATGACCAGATGGTGAGGGATGGATCACCTTCAAAAAATATGTAGGGTTTTTGACTGCTTGAAATTGATAGTGGGTCCTACCTTAACTACCTCAGCCATCAATATAGCCTACCCAACAAACAGAAATACTGGAAAGCAAGAATTTATTTACATACCTTTCTATTTTCATATTCTATTTACTTTCAACTTAATAATATTAATATTTATATTTTGTTAGCAATATAAATTCCCTAAAATTAAAATTAAATAAGCA